GGGATGCAGCCATGTGGCAAAGGACCTTGACCAACCCCCACACCAATACACAAACAGTACATCCCATAATAGTTTGCTGGACAGGAAGGCACAGCACCATGGGGGTGAGCACATGGCAAACAAACAATGGACAGCCATGTGGCCTAGACAAAGGACAACACACAAATGCACAATACCGGGACATTCACATGTACACCCTGTACCCTTAAACAGGCACAGGGTGGGTTAAACATAATGATTTAGGGAGATGATACAGGGGTCCCCCCACCCCCAAAAGTCGCTCCCGTCACAGTTCTGCTGCCTGTAACATGGTTCATCATGGCCGTTTTCGTGGTGGGTCAGTGATGGGCTAGGGAGGCATCTCTATGGAGGGACGCACAGACCTCTACAGGCTAGACAATGGCACCCTGACTGCCATTAGATATGGGGATGAAATCCTTGGACCCATTATCAGACCCTACGCTAGTGCAGTGGGTCCTGGGTTCCTCCTGGTGCAGTGGGTCCTGGGTTCCTCCCAGTGCGGTGGGTCCCGGGTTCCTCCTGGTGCGGTGGGTCCCGGGTTCCTCCTGGTGCGGTGGTTCCTGGGTTCCTCCTGGTGCAGGACAATGCCCGGCCTCATGTGGGGGGGGGTATGCAGGCAGTTCCTGGAGGACAAAGAAATTGATACCATTGAATGGCTCCCACGCTCACCTGACCTAAATCCAATAGAACCCCTCTGGGATGTCATGTTTCGGTCCATCCATCGCCGCCAGGTTGTACCTCAGACTGTCCAGGAGCTCAGTGACACCCTGGTCCAGATCTGGGAGGAAATCCCCCAAGATACCAGCCGTGGCCTTATTAGGAGCCTCCCCTGATGTTGTCAGGCATGCATACAAGCAGGTGAGGACCATACAAACTACTGAGGACCATTCTGAGTTGCTGCAATGACATTTCAGCCAAATGGACTCGCCTGCTGCATCATTTTTTCACTTTGATTTTTGGGGTGTCTGTGAATTCAGTCCGCTGTAGTTCGATCATTTCCATCCAACGATGGGGTGTCCTTATGTTCCTCACTCATCCCCCGTCCATGTCAGTATAGAGATCCAGCAGGAGATTCCTCCTCATTGAGGTCTGATGGGTTTTCAAAGTCTTCCTTTCATTTTCTTGAGCCGTGTATTTAATGACATACACAGCGGAGTTCAGACTGAGATTTGGGGGCGTCTGTACTGTTACCCAGTCAGAGCTGCATGCAGTGCAGTGCTGTTAGTCACATGTTTCAGGCCCTGGGGAAGGTGTGTAAGCTTGTTAGTGGAGGAGAGGGCACAAAGAGAACCTCATAGGATGAGATCTTCACCATGGCTCATTAGGCCGGAGCTGAGACACACAGTGACTAATAATGATGTGATGCCTAGCCTGTGAATATATTATAGATGCACAATTTGTCGCCAGAAAAATAATTATATATATAAAACGCTGTTTGGATGGAGGTCCTCTGACTAGGGAAGCTATGTTTAGAATAGGCAAAAAGAGGACAGAGGACCAGTCACCAGTATTGCCTGCCATCTTCCTGCAGCAGAGGACAAAGGACCAGTCACCAATAATGTCTGTGGTCTCCCTGCAGCAGAGGGCAAATGACCAGTATTGTGTGTGATCTTCCTGCAGCAGAGGGCAAATGGCCAGTATTGTCTGCGATCTTCCTGCAGCAGAGGGCAAATGACCAATAATGTCTGCAATCTTCCTGCAGCAGAGGGCAAATGACCAGTATTGTGTGTGATCTTCCTGCAGCAGAGGGCAAATGGCCAGTATTGTCTGCGATCTTCCTGCAGCAGAGGGCAAATGACCAGTATTGTGTGTGATCTTCCTGCAGCAGAGGGCAAATGGCCAGTATTGTGTGTGATCTTCCTGCAGCAGAGGGCAAATGACCAGTATTGTGTGTGATCTTCCTGCAGCAGAGGGCAAATGACCAATAATGTCTGCGATCTTCCTGCAGCAGAGGGCAAATGACCAGTATTGTCTGTGATCTTCCTGCAGCAGAGGGCAAATGACCAGTATTGTCTGCGATCTTCCTGCAGCAGAGGGCAAATGACCAGTATTGTGTGTGATCTTCCTGCAGCAGAGGGCAAATGACCAATAATGTCTGCGATCTTCCTGCAGCAGAGGGCAAATGACCAGTATTGTGTGTGATCTTCCTGCAGCAGAGGGCAAATGGCCAGTATTGTGTGTGATCTTCCTGCAGCAGAGGGCAAATGACCAGTATTGTGTGTGATCTTCCTGCAGCAGAGGGCAAATGACCAATAATGTCTGCGATCTTCCTGCAGCAGAGGGCAAATGACCAGTATTGTCTGTGATCTTCCTGCAGCAGAGGGCAAATGACCAGTATTGTCTGCGATCTTCCTGCAGCAGAGGGCAAATGACCAGTATTGTGTGTGATCTTCCTGCAGCAGAGGGCAAATGACCAATAATGTCTGCGATCTTCCTGCAGCAGAGGGCAAATGACCAGTATTGTGTGTGATCTTCCTGCAGCAGAGGGCAAATGGCCAGTATTGTGTGTGATCTTCCTGCAGCAGAGGGCAAATGACCAGTATTGTGTGTGATCTTCCTGCAGCAGAGGGCAAATGACCAGTATTGTCTGCGATCTTCCTGCAGCAGAGGGCAAATGACCAGTATTGTCTGTGATCTTCCTGCAGCAGAGGGCAAATGACCAGTATTGTCTGCGATCTTCCTGCAGCAGAGGGCAAATGACCAGTATTGTGTGTGATCTTCCTGCAGCAGAGGGCAAATGACCAGTATTGTGTTTGATCTTCCTGCAGCAGAGGGCAAATGACCAGTATTGTGTGTGATCTTCCTGCAGCAGAGGGCAAATGACCAGTATTGTGTGTGATCTTCCTGCAGCAGAGGGCAAATGACCAGTCACCAGTATTGTTTGTGGTCTCTCTGCAGCTAATTTTTCCCCATTACTTACTGTGCCTTGTATCTTTACCAAGATGGAGGATGCCATCTTGGTAGAGGCAGGGCTTTGCTTCGTCATGTCAGTGTTGCCCCCCTCATGACTGGTGGGGCAATGACAAAGGTAGAAGAAGAACAGATACACAAAATGGATGGAGCTGAAGCAGAGAGATTCTTGTACTGCAGGTCCTCAGGTACATATTCCTCTCCAGCAAGAACAGCGAGCAACACAATAGTAGCATCACCAAATCTCCTGAGGCCACTAGTCAGACAGAGCAGTGCCTCAGGTGATCTCACACTGCACAAAAAGCTATGAGGTTTAAAAAAAGGCATGTCTAACCGGTTCCCGCCCAGCCAATAGCACAAAGGCAGCCGGCAAAACACATTGTCCCTCCGGGTGGACGCCATATGGCGTCCTTTCAGGCATGCACGGTGCGCCTGCCCACAGGGCCACTCTGCGGCGCAATCTGTCACCGCCCGTGTACCTCGGACACGGCCGATGACAGATCTGAGTACCGACCCCTGTTGCCGGGTACCATGTGACCTGCTGTGACCAATCACAGCAGGTCACATGACAGTTGTATACAATGGATGGCTTCCTTTCATGCCATCCATTGTATACAAGTGTGTCTAGCTGTGAATGGTCACAGCGATCACATGCACAAGCTGGGCCAATCACAGCCCAGCTGTGTCATGTGATTAGCCATGGCCAAATCACTTTTAAGCACCAAAAAACCCCCCTGAATGAATCGATGTCATTCAGGTAAATGCTTGCTTATAGCAAAGTAATTCTTTGCTATAAGCAAATTTTGTAAAAAAAAAAAATAATAAAATACTGATCACTTCCCCAAAGTGGTACAATGTTACTATGGTAATAATATACTACTTTGGTCATAGTGTAATATGAAAAAAAAAATCTTAAATAGAGAAAAAAATGTAATAAAAAATCATCGCCATGCCAGTTATATGATAATGCTGTACTACACTGGTGACCGGATGTAATAAAAAAAAAAAAATAGTGAAAATATTTGAAATTTTTTCATTTTCCGAAAAATTGACAAAAAATTACAACTTCAAAATCACAACCCCCTGATGAAGCCGCATGACCGGCGGCGTAACGCGTAGGGGAGGGGCTGCGACGTCACAGACCATTTGTGGACGGCGAGTAGACACAGAGCATGCTGTGTTTGGTTTGTTAAAGGCGATCCATTGTTTTTACAAAAGCAGTTTGTACTTCTATCAAATAGGATATATCAAAAGTAGGAGGAGTAGCTGCATGGGAGAGAGATCCTAGAAGGGATATGAGGCGGAGAGCCGGCTGAGAGATACCCACCATACTTCATACGATGCAATATACATCTGAAATGTTCCTTAAAGTGAACAAAAGCGCAGTAAGCCTATGATAGGCTATCCAGGAGGTGAGCGTACATCTCAATCACATTAAAGGAAGTCGCTGGAATTGATCATTTTACTTGAATCACTGAGCGGTCACTATTATTGAATAGAGACTTTTTTTCATCATATGTTATGCATTGGATGTCACATTATATATTTTGATCACATTGGTTATTTATATATTTTTTATAATTTTTTGAATATGATTTGTTTGGGAATAGGATTTAGGTACCGATATAATTTTTTGCAACGTTTTTTCTGATTACACTATTTTATTTAGATTAGGAGCGCGACATTTATTTTATTTGGAACTTCAAAAAACTCGCCATGCCTCTTATGAAATACGTCGGACTGTCTACTTTGCAAAAAGTGGTCATTTGGGGGATATCTGTACTGTCCTGACATTTGGGGGATACCTGTACCGTCCTGACATTTGGGGGATACCTGTACTGTCCTGACATTTGGGGGGATATCTGTACCGTCCTGACATTTGGGGGATACCTGTACTGTCCTGACATTTGGGGGATATCTGTACCGTCCTGACATTTGGGGGATATCTGTACCGTCCTGACATTTGGGGGATCTCTGTACCGTCCTGACATTTGGGGGATACCTGTACTGTCCTGACATTTGGGGGATACCTGTACTGTCCTGACATTTGGGGGATATCTGTACCGTCCTGACATTTGGGGGATATCTGTACCGTCCTGACATTTGGGGGATACCTGTACTGTCCTGACATTTGGGGGATATCTGTACCGTCCTGACATTTGGGGGATATCTGTACCGTCCTGACATTTGGGGGGATCTCTGTACCGTCCTGACATTTGGGGGATCTCTGTACCGTCCTGACATTTGGGGGATATCTGTACCGATCTGACATTTGGGGGGATATCTGTACCGTCCTGACATTTGGGGGGGATATCTGTACCGTCCTGACATTTGGGGGATATCTGTACCGTGCTGACATTTGGGGATATCTGTACTATCCTGACATTGGGGGGATATCTGTACCGTCCTGACATTTGGGGGGGATCTGTACTGTTCTGACATTCTTGGATCTCAAGAAATGAGATTGGCTGTCAGTACTTCAGGATTGATCAACATTCAGATATCTCCCATAGTTTGTGAACTCTATAACTTTCCTACAGACTAAATCATAAATCCTAATTTGGGTTATGTCCACCAAAGACATGGAGCAGAATACATTTTGGCCCAAATTTATGAAGAACAATTATTTATTTATTTGCAAACTTTTATAACAGAAACAAAGAAAAACGTGTTTTTTTTTTTTTTCAAAATTTTCAGTCTTTTTTTGTTAATTTAGCAAAAAATAAAAACCCCGGCGGTGATTAAATACCAACAAAAGAAAGCTCTAGTTGTGTGAAGAAAATGATAGTTTGGGTACAGTGTTGCATGACCGCGCAATTGTCATTCAAAGTGTGAGAGCGCTGAAACCTGAAAATTGGCCTGGGGACTGGAAGGGGGTGACAGTGCCCGGTATGGAAGGGGCTAGGCCCAGGAAGTGCACCTTTTTTTTTTCTTTAGCAAATATTCACTTTTTGTCTTGGATTCTGCATTCGTTAGGATAACCATCTAATTCCGAAGTATTTCAGATATATTAGGGTGACCCTCCTCATCCTGACACTTAGATGTATGGTGGGTCACGGGGTGCACTTCCTGTGCTGTCCTGTAACCCAGATTCAGACCACAGTGGCCTAAAGCCTACAGTCGGCTGGTGTCAGAGTTGGTCGAACAATGTCAGGATCACTTCGAAGCCTGATTGGCAGCTGGAACAGCCTCTCAGCATGCCGCTGAGAATCTGAGCAAGCCGGTCCCGCCTCCTCCTGAGCCTGGAGCTCCAGTCACTGTTCATTGCTTAGACAGAACCAAGAACTGAGCGATTGGCGGTCATGTGATCGCTCAGTTCTCCAGCTAACAGCAGGTGGGGGGGAGTAGGCAGGTTTATTCTTTATTGCATTCCAACACTTCACCTTTAACGTGTGACAAGTGCAGACCCTACGGGCTTCTACTGGGGGAAGATCGATCGATCGATCAATAACCTGACAAGACTGTGTGAATTCGTTCCTGACAGGTCACAATGTACAGCAATGGTAACTACAGCCCAGTTTGGGGCAAGTGTTTTACACATTACAATGGGCCTGCAGGCAGATCAGACTGCAGTGCTCGACTTTAATCCAGAGCTGCCCCCACAGCACTTCTTTATCACAAGATGCCCAATCATTCAACCTGGAAGATGGAGGACACTATGATTGCTGGGCGTCATGGCTCCGCCTCCTTGAAGGGTATACCTATGGCACTCTGCTGTCAGTGTATTGATGCAGAGAGTGGTGCTGCTGTCACTACAATTCCGTCATGAAGGAAAGAAAGAAAAAAAAGTTAAAGGATGAGTTCACCTTTCAGAATGTTTCGTCCGTATTCAGGGTGTAACATGTTAATAAATCAGCCTCCCCCGCACTCACCCCCCAAGACCCCATTATGGCAGCTTCTCTCCCCGTACTCACTGTCACAATTTAAAAAGAGAGCGGCCATACGGTGCTCGACCCCCCAACCACATCATCCATTCAGAGATCTGTAAAGAGAACTACCAACAACCATTGCGGCTGATGGCTGGTGGTTCTCACCTACGAGGGTGCAGGGTGGAGGGGGGCAGCAGTGGCAAAGGGATGAATTGAACAACTAAGACATCCAGAATGCACCTCCCAGCCACAGCAGACAGATTTCTGTTCTCAGTCATCACTCGCTGGTTCTAAGGTTAGAGGCGGTGACTGCTCTGTGGGGGACGTCCTGCATTTATCCCAGGAAGTAGATGAAGCTGGAACACTGATGGCTCCACCCTAGAGGAAGCTGCCAGACTTGGGATCACTCTGAGAGACAATAGGGAGTATTACAAACAGGAGGTATCTGGAGGGACAGGTCCACTTGTGTACGGGGTGTCGTAGAACGTGGCCTCTTCCATTACAACAGGAGGTATCTGGAGGGACAGGTCCACTTGTGTACGGGGTGTCGTAGAACGTGGCCTCTTCCATTACAACAGGAGGTATCTGGAGGGACAGGTCCACTTGTGTACGGGGTGTCGTAGAACGTGGCCTCTTCCATTACAACAGGAGGTATCTGGAGGGACAGGTCCACTTGTGTACGGGGTGTCGTAGAACGTGGCCTCTTCCACTACAACAAGAGGTATCTGGAGGGACAGGTCCACTTGTGTACGGGGTGTCGTAGAACGTGGCCTCTTCCACTACAAGAGGTATGTGGAGGGACAGGTCCACTTGTGTACGGGGTGTCATAGAACGCGTCCTCTTCCATTACAACAGGAGGTATCTGGAGGGACAGGTCCACTTGTGTACGGGGGTCGTAGAACGTGGCCTCTTCCAACAGGCGGTATCTGGAGGGACAGGTTCACTTGTGTACGGGGTGTCATAGAACGTGGCCTCTTCCATTGCAACAGGAGGTATCTGGAGGGACAGGTCCACTTGTGTACGGGGTGTCATAGAACGCGTCCTCTTCCATTAACAACAGGAGGTATCTGGAGGGACAGGTCCACTTGTGTACGGGGGTCGTAGAACTTTCAATACAACAACAGGAGGTATCTAGAGGGACAGGTTCACTTGTGTACGGGGTGTCATAGAACGTGGCCTCTTCCATTGCAACAGGAGGTATCTGGAGGGACAGGTCCACTTGTGTACGGGGTGTCATAGAACGCGGCCTCTTTCACTACAACAACAGGAGGTATCTAGAGGGACAAGTCCACTTGTGTACGGGGCGTCGTAGAACGTGGCCTCTTCCAATTACAACAGGAGGTATTTGAAGGGACAGGTCCACTTGTGTACGTGTGTCGTAGAACGTGGCCTCTTCCATTACAACAGGAGGTATCTGGAGGGACAGGTCCACTTGTGTACGGGGCGTCGTAGAACGTGGCCTCTTCCATTACAACAGGAGGTATCTAGAGGGACAAGTCCACTTGTGTAGGGGGCATTGTAGAACGTGGCCTTTTCCATTACAACAACAGGAGGTATCTGGAGGGACAGGTCTACTTGTGTATGGGGTGTCGTAGAACGTGGCCTCTTCCATTACAACAAGGAGGTATCTAGAGGGACAGGTCCACTTGTGTACGGGGTGTCATAGAAGGTGGCCTCTTCCATTACAACAGGAGATATCTGGAGGCACAGGTCCACTTGTGTACGGGGCCTCTTCCATTGCAACAACAGGAGGTATCTGGAGGGACAGGTCCACTTGTGTACGGGGTGTCGTAGAACGTGGCCTCTTCCATTACAACAGGAGGTATCTGGAGGGACAGGTCCACTTGTGTACGGGGTGTCGTAGAACGTGGCCTCTTCCATTACAACAGGAGGTATCTGGAGGGACGGGTCCACTTGTGTACGGGGTGTTGTAGAACGTGGCCTCTTCCATTACAACAGGAGGTATCTGGAGGGACGGGTCCACTTGTGTACGGGGTGTCGTAGAACGTGGCCTCTTCCACAGCTCAGACTGTACAAATGGAAAATGCTGCTTCTGATCTGCTGCGCCCTACAATATGATTGGATCTCATAGGATCAGGTGGGTCCAATCACAAAGCAGGTGACACCCACCATCATTGGAATCTGCTCTCCTGTGTTAATAATCGGGGGTTGGGGCATCGTCCTTCACATAATTCCCTGCTGACCTGCCCCCCCCCCCCCCCCGGGGTAAAATCACTTCTACCCCGTGCTGGGCCAATCACAACAATTCACAGGCTTCTAATAAAGTTTATTTTATTAAATACGAATTTTACAAATATACAGCCGTGTTCCGTCACATTGGGTACAGCCGTGTTCCGTCACACTGGGTACAGCCGTGTTCCGTCACATTGGGTACAGCCGTGTTCCGTCACACTGGGTACAGCCGTGTTCCGTCACACTGGGTACAGCCGTGTTCCGTCACACTGGGTACAGCCGTGTTCCGTCACACTGGGTACAGCCGTGTTCCGTCACACTGGGTACAGCCGGGTTCCGTCACACTGGGTACAGCCGGGTTCCGTCACACTGGGTACAGCAGTGTTCCGTCACATTGGGTACAGCCGTGTTCCGTCACATTGGGTACAGCCGTGTTCCGTCACACTGGGTACAGCCGTGTTCCGTCACACTGGGTACAGCCGGGTTCCGTCACACTGGGTACAGCCGGGTTTCGTCACATTGGGTACAGCCGTGTTCCGTCACATTGGGTACAGCCGTGTTCCGTCACACTGGGTACAGCCGTGTTCCGTCACATTGGGTACAGCCGTGTTCCGTCACATTGGGTACAGCCGTTTCCGTACAGCCGTGTTCCGTCACACTGGGTACAGCCGTGTTTCGTCACATTGGGTACAGCCGTGTTCCGTCACATTGGGTACAGCCGTGTTCCGTCACATTGGGTACAGCCGTGTTCCGTCACATTGGGTACAGCCGTGTTCCGTCACATTGAGGCCCCGCCCACTGATCTCTGCTTCTCAGCGCAGACGGATGATTTCCTCTTTACAGATCTGCATGACTTTGGTAAAGTCCAAGTGGAGGTATTTCCGCCAGAAGCGCCGATCCCGCCCATAGACCTGTGCTGGGTAACATGGACTTCCTGTGGAGCAAACAAACCGCATGTTAGGAAGTGGGATCCCCCACAATCCCCTCCTCCAGGATGCGGAGTCAGGCATCCCCTTTTATATCTGCCTCAGGAATAGCTCATTGGAGTGACTTTGGGGGGGTTGGACCTCCAGGAAAGCTGCCAATTATCTGACCAGCAGCTCATGTACAGTGTGTACTAATTGGGTTCCTTCTCCATTGTCCCCTGTATGTAGGAATGTAGACCCCTCTACTGCGCACTCCTGAGATGGACTATGGGGATACAGACTATGGGACTATGGTCTCTGCACTGTGGAGTATGGACTATAGGCTATTGTGACGGGAGTGACTTTGGGTGGGGGGGGCCCATGGAACACAGCTCACTTTGGGTGGGGGGCCCATGGAACACAGCTCACTTTGGGTGGGGGGCCCATGGAACACAGCTCACTTTGGGTGGGGGGCCCATGGAACACAGCTCACTTTGGGTGGGGGGCCCATGGAACACAGCTCACTTTGGAGAGGTGGGGAGACCCCTGTCTCAGCTCCCCATGTCCCTCTTATGTGTAAGTCACCCTGTGCCTGTTAGGAGTGCAGGGTGATATGCCCTGATATTGTGTAGACATGTATAGGTGGGGGGGGGGGGGGGGTTGTGGATTGTTTACTGCCATGTAGTACATCCCATTGTTCTATTGTGTGTCTTGCTTGGGAGCAAACTATTATGGGATGTATGTGTTTGTGTATTGGCTTGGTGGGGGGTGTCTGCTGATGTGTCTCTGGCTGCTAGATGTGGTTTGCCCCGCCCTGTGTCATTATGCAGGGAAGGGGGGTTGCCCCGCCCTGTGTCATTATGCAGGGAGGGGGGGTTGACCCGCCCTGTGTCATTATGCAGGGAGGGGGGGGTTGCCCCACCCTGTGTCATTATGCAGGGAGGGGGGTTGTTCCCTTGAATGTATATATCTTGTATCTGTGTTTATATAAAGTAGTCTTTTTCCTGGTTTACTTCAAGACTGGTGTCGTCTGGTCTTGTATGGTCAGCGGTGGTGTCTGGTGTCGGTGGTGTCTGTGGTCGGTGGTGTCTGTGGTCGGTGGTGGTGTCAGTGGTGTCAGTGGTGTCTGTGGTGTCGGTGGTGGTCAGTGGTGTCGGTGGTGTCAGTGGTGTCGGTGGTGTCAGTGGTGTCGGTGGTGTCAGTGGTGTCGGTGGTGTCAGTGGTGTCGGTGGTGTCGGTGGTGTCGGTGGTGTCGGTGGTCGGTGTTCGGACGGGGAAACGGGAGTCTAACGGAAGTACTCAGTGCAGTCTGGGGACGGTTCTGTTGCAAAACCAAAATCTTACATACCGATCCCATGAAAAATCCCGGGCAAGATTTCGTCCAGAGAAACGCTCATCTTGGTGAATGGAGAGGAAAAGGCGAACGTCACAAGACAGCTGAGCCAACCAATCTTCGGCCTGCAGAGAGAAAGGCGATGAAGAAAATAACCCGAATAATGAGATGGAAGTCAGAGAGAAATCCCGATTACAGCTGGAGACGTAGGAGTGCGGCGAGGACTGGAAAATTGTCAGCAGAAGGGCGCCTGCATCCAATCAGATTGGGTATTCCGACAGGAGCTGGCTGGGGCCACAGCAGAAGATTCCTTTATCACAGCTGTATATCATGTTACAATATCTTCATTCTGCCCCCAGTGTGTGGCCCGAGTGTGCGCCAATGTGCGGTCCCCAGGTCTCTGCCAGTGTGTATCCCCCCCCCCCCCCCCGGGTCTGCGCCAGTGTGTATTCCCCCCTCCAACCTGCGCCAGTGTGTATCCCCCCCCTCAACCTGCACCAGTGTGTGGACCCCCCGGTCTGCGGCTCCCCAGGTCTGCGTCCCCAGGTCTGCACCAGTCTGCGGCCCCCCAGGTCTGTGCACCCAGCTTTAGGCAGTAAGACTGACTGTTCATACAACCTCTAGAACTGGTCCAGGGTTTGATGTGGGCCCCGAGGGTCAGCTATTCTTCTCTGGATGGAACTCGTAACGTTGAGAAGTTGGTGTGGAATGTGATCAGAGATGGGGGAGGGGAAGTCTCCTGAACCCAGATATCTCATCATGGTGACCACATGGAGGTTACCTTCTCTTTGCTCAGCTCTTCCTCGGCATTCTCCCGTCCTTCATCGTTCAGAGGATTTCTCCCCTCAAAGTACTCCAGGATATGAGCCTTCAGCTGAGCGCTGCGCTCCAGATTGACTTGCTCTGCGCAGGCCGCGCTGCTCCTGTACGTCACACTGAATCAAAGGACAACATGGAAGGAACACGTCACAGAAGAGGCGGTCCGCAATCAACACGGAAAGTCATCATGGAGCTCATTGTGGGAACACGGAAGTCTTAAAATCTTTGGGCTATACTGCTACCTACAGGAGGATTGGATACTGGGAAACATTAGGTCAGCCCCTCCTACTAACCCCTCCCACTCCCAGCATGCTTCAGTTTTGTAGCAAAGCAGTACCAAGAACATGATCAGAAACAAATTAGTGGAACCCGCATCCCTTGATGGACACCAAGAAAAAAAAAAAATCACATTTCCTTTCTTCGTACTTGGAGGGACGTAGGAAGTCTGAAACCTTCAGGATGTCAAAAAGTAGTCCACATGAAGGGGGGGGGGGGGGGGCAGGGGACAGCAATTAACAGGTTAAACTGGGGACAGCCTGCAGTCACCTGAAGGAACTTACAGATCTAAAATCAGACGAGGAAGAAACATCCACCAAATATAACTGAGAACAGAAGACCAGCCGGCTGCCTTGCAAACCTGGAAAATGGGGGCCTGATGCCGAAACTCCCAAGAGGTGCTAATGGAGCTCTAATGAAGTGAGCCTGGAAAAGGGGAACCCGGAAGGATGGTATGTCGGAGCCACCTAGAGAAGGTTTCAATGAGAAACCAGGTCACCCCTGCGGGGCTCATATAGGGTGACAAAAATGTAACCAGTCCTCCAGCAAGAAGCAATGGTTCAAAGATAAATCTTCACAGCCTGGACCTCTTCAAAAAAATGGAGGGAAGTTTATTTTCGGGGAACTGAACCAGACAGAGGAACAATGTCTTGATTAAGGTGGAAAATGGAGATCATCTTGGGAAGAAAGGAAGGCCTGAGTCTCACAACCACCTTGTCCAAGACCAAAAGTGTTTTTGTGTAGGATGAATCTGCTGGATCAGACACTCTCCTACACCAGGATGACCACAAGGACAACCTTGTGGGTCAGAGCAGAGGGAAAGGCCTCTCATAGAATCACACAGGGCCTTCTGAAGTGCCAAAGAACCAAATTAAAATAGGAGTTATTGGGGCTGGATTGGGGGAAGGACATGGGTTAACCCCCCCCCCCCCACTCCACACACTAATGGTGGTAATCAGAATATGGAGAACCAATGCTCTTCGGAGCAGATTGGAAAGTGCCGAGATCTGGCCCTAGATTCTGCTAAGAGTCAAACATTAGTCCAGTCCCAATTGGAGAAAAGAGGTTCTGTAGTACAGAAAAAATCCTATGGGAAGGGGGGAGCCCTTAGCCCACTTTCCCCAAAGTCTTTCATCTGCTGAGGAAGGCGTATTTTATTTGGTGTGAATGTAACTAGCCTCAAACTTCACAGGCACCACAGACATCCTATCCCTTAGAAATTGGGATTCAAACAGCTATGTCATTAAAGCCGGCAATCAAGAAGCAGGATGGCAAATCAGTCTTTGAACAGCAGATCTAGATTTTCTGGTAGAACCCTAAACTGCATCTGCAAGAAGTTATATCAGGTCAGAGTACCGCATCCGCATGGGCCAATCTGGAGCAATAAGGATCACTGGAATGCCCGCTATCAAGATCCAGGGTAACAGGAAAGGCCTCCAGAACTCATAAAATCTGGACAGCTGGTAGCTGGTGAACGATTTGTGACCAGAGGGCTAAGGCAGCCAAAAGGGACTAAAATCATAGCAGGCTGGATGCAGGAACGGATGGAAGTTCCATGTGGCTCTTTGTAGCAGAAGCAGCAGTGGGGTGTGCACAATACTCCAGTCAGCAGAATGATGTTAGCACTCTGGCCCAAAGCATGGACCTCTTCCCTGGCAATGTCAGTGAGAAATAACAATGAGGGAGATTCCTGGTGCTTGGCCCAGAGTTATGGTTCGGGGCCAGGATCAGAGGGTTCAGATCCAGACCTCTTCCCTGGCAATGTCAGTGAGAAATAACAATGAGGGAGATTTCTGGTGCTTGGCCCAGAGTTATGGTTCGGGGCCAGGATCAGAGGGTTCAGAACCAGACCTCTTCCCTGGCAATGTCAGTTGGAAAGAACAATGAGGGATGTTCATGGTGCTTGGCCCAGAATTAAGGTTCGGAGCCTGGACCAGAGGGTTCAGAACCAGACCTCTTCCCTGGCAATGTCAGTGAGAAATAACAATGAGGGAGGTTCCTGGTGCTTGGCCCAGAGTTATGGTTCGGGGCCAGGATCAGAGGGTTCAGATCCAGACCTCTTCCCTGGCAATGTCAGTGGGAAAGAACAATGAGGGAAGTTCATGGTGCTTGGCCCAGAGTTAGGGTTCGGAGCCTGGACCAGAGGGTTCAGAACCAGACCTCTTCCCTGGCAATGTCAGTGAGAAATAACAATGAGGGAGGTTCCTGGTGCTTGGCCCAGAGTTATGGTTCGGGGCCAGGATCAGAGGGTTCAGATCCAGACCTCTTCCCTGGCAATGTCAGTGGGAAAGAACAATGAGGGAAGTTCATGGTGCTTGGCCCAGAGTTAGGGTTCGGAGCCTGGACCAGAGGGTTCAGAACCAGACCTCTTCCCTGGCAATGTCAGTGAGAAATAACAATGAGGGAGGTTCCTGGTGCTTGGCCCAGAGTTATGGTTCGGGGCCAGGATCAGAGGGTTCAGAACCAGACCTCTTCCCTGGCAATGTCAGTTGGAAAGAACAATGAGGGATGTTCATGGTGCTTGGCCCAGAATTAAGGTTCGGAGCCTGGACCAGAGGGTTCAGAACCAGACCTCTTCCCTGGCAATGTCAGTGGGAAAGAACAATGAGGGAAGTTCATGGTGCTTGGTCCAGAGTTAGGGTTCGGAGCCAGGACTAGAGGGTTAAGGTTCAGATCCAGGACCAATACAGAGACAAAGCGCTCTGTAACTAACCTAACCTAACCAGGTCCAGTCTGAGAAGCGCACCACATGGAACTCCGTGCCTGAGGGTCACTTCCAGACTCACCCTACAAATCATCCAGTCCAGTGGGGGAGCAAACGTTATGCTATCCAGAAACCAGACTGAGGACGGCTGTGCTGGATAGCTGAGAGTCAGTAAGGAAAACCACCAACTGTTGGAGAAGAGTCATGCTAGAAGAAGAAAAAAAATCAAAAGTTCAATCCTGAACACTTCAGATCTGAAAAATTACATTCAGCCTACTAGAACCCAGAAGAGGGATTTTTTCCTGGGCTGGCCTATAGTGTCCAATCCCCCTGTAGGCAGCAGTATAACCGGAGAGTTTATTACTACCCGTGTCCCTCAATGGATGAGAAAGAAACAAGATGTCAGAAAGAAGAGAAAATCTCTATAAGAGAAGAGACACAAAGTGCTAAACCAGCAAATTCCTCACGGCTGACTATACAGAACACTGAATGTTACCCAAGAAAACTCTAAAACAAACATACTGGAATCACCATAGAAATAGGTCCCGTTATCCGAGTTCTGTGGGAACATTGCAGCCACTGAACCCAACCAAGATCCACAGATCAGCCATAGCCCCCCCCCAGGTGGATCTGAGATCCTGTATGGCCACTGGGAGATGGGGCCGCCTTTCCACAAGGGAAGTGAGCCACATTCCTCAGTGTGGCCCCACCACAGCCTTGTAGTCAGACATCGCTCACAGACTGGGCACTCAGAGGTCCAGAAACAATTCGACAACATAAAGGAGCCCGATGTATTACATCTGCACTATAGGGAAAATGGCCAATGTCCATAGCAAGCTACTGGAATGGGTTTTATCTGTGGATCTGAGAGCAGACTTGTGCTCAGATTGGTGCAATGGAGAACCAGCAGTTCTTCCTCCAGTGCCCTGTCCCTGTCTCCCTGTTTCCAGTATAGTCATTGTCTATAATAAGGAGATGGAGATGAAGACCTGGACCATGGAAAGGTACAATCTGACGGCTTCATCAGGCTTGGTGAGTGAGGCGACTCCATCTGCTGCTTTCATCATGTGACCGTTTCCTGCTCAGATATCGTCTAACAAGTACAACATAAACCTGGGACACAACGGACCACATACCTCTGGAACACCCGGTAACAAGACTTCAGTTGTCTCAGAGCCGTCGCCTCTCGTGAAGAAACTTTGTGATGGAGAAAATCACAGACATCCTCCAATTCCTCATCTGTCAGATCTCCGTAAGAACGGAAGTGAAAGGACAGCGCGCTGAACTCAACCAGGACACCGCTGCGGCCTGTACCCCGGAAACCTAAACACAGAGCAAAGATTGCTGCATTATACACCAGTCACATGACCCATCACATGCATCGCTTGGACAAAAAACTATCTCAGAGCTTCTAATAAAAAGTATAAAATTACCGGGACATGTCCCAATAAAGGGGAAAAGAAGGGGAAAAGAAGGAAAAATCACCACCATGGAAAGTGAGCGAAAAGCCCTCTTAGATGCCACCAAACAACAAATTTCCACATCAAAAGATTTCCTCTTCTAGTGACAACTCGAAATTTGAATTTTCCCTCCCATAGAAAGCAATTTCTGAGACACTAAAAAGACAAAAGAGTGACTCCCTCTCACAAGTTTGACTTTTTATAGAGGAGTCCCAATGAAAGTGACCCTCCACCAGACCTCCTGCTGCCTGCCAAAACACAACATCAGAAAATGGGCTTCCTGCATCGGCCCGCTGCTACACATTACCTCCGGAGGAAGAAGAGTTCCATTGCAGGTTCCGGAGACCTCTCTTCACTAGAACGACTTCCCAGCCCATGAAGTCCGCCACCTCCACCACATTGAACTCCACAGAACTGGTGTGTGTGTGATCAACACCCGACAGTCGTTCCCGAGCCAGAGCCACAGCTACAGGGGGGCAGCTGAGGAGAAGACATATACATTCACCTACTGTACAGACACAGAGGGTTCATACTACATACACATAGGAGAAGACATATACATTCACCTACTGTATACAGACACAGAGGGATCATACTACATACACATAGGAGAAGACATATACATTCACCTACACACAGAGGGATCATACTACATACACATAGGAGAAGACATATACATTACAGACACAGAGGGATCATACTATACAGAAGACAGAGGGATCATACTACATACACATAGGAGAAAACATATACATTCACCTACAGACACAGAGGGATCATACTACATACACATAGGAGAAGACATATACATTCACCTATACAGACACAGAGGGTTCATACTACACACACACACACATAGGAGAAGACAAGACATAGCGTACACATTCACCTACGGTACACCTACAGACACAGAGGGTTCATACTACACACACACACACATAGGAGAAGACATATACATTCACCTAGCGTACACAGACACAGGGGGTTCATACTACATACACACATAGGAGAAGACATATACATTCACCTACGGTACACAGACACAGAGGGTTCATACTACACACACACACATAGGAGAAGACATATACATTCACCTAGCGTACACAGACACAGAGGGATCATACTACATACACATAGGAGAAGACATATACATTCACCTATACAGACACAGAGGGTTCATACTACATACACACATAGGAGAAGACATATACATTCACCTACACACAGAGGGATCATACTACATACACATAGGAGAAGACATATACATTCACCTACGGTACACAGACACAGAGGGTTCATACTACACACACACACACATAGGAGGAGACATATACATTCACCTACGGTACACAGGCACAGAGGGTTCATACTACATACACATAGGAGAAGACATATACATTCACCTACGGTACACAGACACAGAGGGTTCATACTACACACACACACATAGGAGAAGACATATACATTCACCTAGCGTACACAGACACAGAGGGTTCATACTACATACACACATAGGAGAAGACATGTACATTCACCTATACAGACACAGAGGGTTCATACTACATACACATAGGAGGAGACATATACATTCACGTACACACAGAGGGATCATACTACATACACATAGGAGAAGACATATACATTCACCTATTGTACACAGACACAGAGGGTTCATACTACATACACATAGGAGGAAGACATATACATTCACCTATTGTACACAGGCACAGAGGGTTCATACTACATACACATAGGAGAAGACATATACATTCACCTATACACAGACACAGAGGGTTCATACTACATGCACACATAGAGAAGACATATACATTCACCTATTGTACACAGACACAGAGGGTTCATACTACATACACATAGGAGAAGACATATACATTCACCTATACAGACACAGAGGGATCATACTACATGCACATAGGAAGAATATACATATACACACACAGAGGGTTCATACTACATACACATATAGAAGACATATACATTCACCTATACAGACACAGAGGGATCATACTACATACACACATAGGAGAAGACATATACACACACACACAGGGATCATACTACATACACATATAGAAGACATATACATTCACCTATACAGACACAGAGGGATCATACTACATACACACATAGGAGACATATACACACACACACAGGGATCATACTACATACACATATAGAAGACATATACATTCACCTATACAGACACAGAGGGATACTACATACACATATAGAAGACATATACAGAGGGATCATACTACATACACATATAGAAGACATATACAGGTTACATTTCAATCCAACGGGCACTGGAGATTCTAATTACAAGTGACAAGTGTTCCCCCGTGGCCCCCCTCCCCCCATTCCTTCATTGGAGGACACAACTCTACCTGTGCGCGATGCCACGCAACTGCCGAGGACCACTGTAGCAAGTGACACGACAGACCGATAAGGTGGGGTGCAGGAGCTCCAACCAATGAGAAGAATGGAGTTCCAGATAGCAAAGAAGAGTCTCAATACCTGAAGAATGACAAAGAAGGCAGGAAAATGATTGGCTAAAATATGACTGACCCTGACCACTGATATCAGACAAATACACCCAACTGAGGGAACCAATATTGATCGGATCTAGACCCAATATCCAGAATATGATACAATTATTCATTGGATCTAGACCCAATATCCAGAATATGATACAATTATTCATTGGATCTAGACCCAATATCCAGAATATGATACAATTATTGAGGGGATCTAGACCCAATATCAGGATTATGAGGATACAATTATTGATGAGATCTAGACCCAAAATCAGGATTATGAGGGTACAATTATTGAGGGGGATCTAGACCCAATATCAGGAGTATGAGGATACAATTATTGATGGGATCTAGACCCAATATCAGGAGTATGAGGGTACAATTATTGAGGGGATCTAGACCCAATATCAGGAGTATGAGGATACAATTATTGATGAGATCTAGACCCAAAATCAGGATTATGAGGGTACAATTATTGATGGGATCTAGACCCAATATCAGGAGTATGAGGATACAATTATTGATGAGATCTAGACCCAATATCAGGAGTATGAGGGTACAATTATTGATGGGATCTAGACTCAATATCAGGAGTATGAGGATACAATTATTGAGGGGATCTAGATCCAATATCAGGAGTATGAGGATACAATTATTGAGGTGATCTAGATCCAATATCAGGAGTATGAGGATACAATTATTGATGGGATCTAGACCCAATACCAGGAGTATGAGGATACAATTATTGATGTGATCTAAACCCAATATCAGGAGTATGAGGGTACAATTATTGATGTGATCTAGATCCAATATCAGGAGTATGAGGATACAATTATTGATGGGATATAGACCCAATATCAGGAGTATGAGGATACAATTATTGAGGGGATCTAGATCCAATATCAGGAGTATGAGGATACAATTATTGAGGGGATCTAGACCCAATATCAGGAGTATGAGGGTACAATTATTGATGTGATCTAGATCCAATATCAGGAGTATGAGGATACAATTATTGAGGGGATCTAGATCCAATATCAGGAGTATGAGGATACAATTATTGATGGGATCTAAACCCAATATCAGGAGTATGAGGATACAATTATTGAGGGGATCTAGACCCAATATCAGGAGTATGAGGGTACAATTATTGATGTGATCTAGATCCAATATCAGGAGTATGAGGATACAATTATTGAGGGGATCTAGACCCAATATCAGGAGTATGAGGATACAATTATTGATGGGATCTAGATCCAATATCAGGAGTATGAGGGTACAATTATTGATGGGATCTAGACCCAATACCAGGAGTATGAGGATACAATTATTGATGAGATCTAGACCCAATATCAGGAGTATGAGGGTACAATTATTGAGGGGATCTAGACCCAATATCAGGAGTATGAGGATACAATTATTGATGAGATCTAGACCCAATATCAGGAGTATGAGGATACAATTATTGAGGGGATCTAGACCCAATATCAGGAGTATGAGGATACAATTATTGAGGGGATCTAGACCCAATATCAGGAGTATGAGGGTACAATTATTGATGGGATCTAGATCCAATATCAGGAGTATGAGGGTACAATTATTGATGGGATCTAGATCCAATATCAGGAGTATGAGGATACAATTATTGAGGGGATCTAGACCCAATACCAGGAGTATGAGGGTACAATTATTGATGAGATCTAGACCCAATATCAGGAGTATGAGGATACAATTATTGAGGGGATCTAGACCCAATATCAGGAGTATGAGGATACAATTATTGATGGGATCTAGATCCAATATCAGGAGTATGAGGATACAATTATTGAGGGGATCTAGATCCAATATCAGGAGTATGAGGATACAATTATTGAGGGGATCTAGACCCAATACCAGGAGTATGAGGGTACAATTATTGATGAGATCTAGACCCAATATCAGGAGTATGAGGATACAATTATTGAGGGGATCTAGACCCAATACCAGGAGTATGAGGATACAATTATTGATGGATAGAGGCCAATAGGTATCCTACGGTAAGATCGGGTCATATACTGTATATTTGCTCCATTGTGTGGGCGGGTTTGTAAAATGCGGTCCAGTATCTCCGGTTCGCAGACACCAGTTACAGTGCAGATTTTCCAGTCTCAGAGACGGTGGCAGTTTCTGCAGAAAGCCGGATTCTCTGACATGTGATGGACGGTGAATCTTTGGGCTTCACACATCAGTGGTTGCACCATTTCATTTCTAAGCAGTTTAATTTGCTGGTAATAAACTTGGGAGAACAATACAACTACAGACGCTGTCAGGAGTTACCTTCCTCCCGGACGTCCAGCGCCTGCACGGTCTCCTCTATAGGAAGAACACGCTCATGTCTATGGCACGTCCGCTCCACCGCTTTGTCCATAGATGGAGGTCTGGCCTCTTCCTCACCATCACACTGTGCCAGGAAATCCAACATTTCATCATCATCCAGCTCACAGCCCTGCAGGCCAAAGATTGGGAGGAAATAGGAGACACCAGTTATGGAGATGAAGATACCATACAAGGGACTAGATGTCATGTTGTACTGGAATGTATCTGGAAATGAACAGAAGATTCCAGTATTACACACATATATATACTTGTACTTCTGTCAACACGAGCCTCACAGGGTCACCCAATATGGCTTTTACTGCTGCCAATAGAACAAAGGAAATATAACAGTCATACTGTCCCTCTCCTACAGGTCTGCTGCCACCAGGGTGGTGATCTGTAAACAGACCATTATAGTCACACTGTCCCTCTCCTACAGGTCTGCTGCCACCAGGGTGGTGATCTGTAAACAGACCATTGTAGTCACACTGTCCCTCTCCTACAGGTCTGCTGCCACCAGGGTGGTGATCTGTAAACAGACCATTGTAGTCACACTGTCCCTCTCCTACAGGTCTGCTGCCACCAGGGTGGTGATCTGTAAACAGACCATTGTAGTCACACTGTCCCTCTCCTACAGGTCTGCTGCCACCAGGGTGGTGATCTGTAAACAGACCATTATAGTCACACTGTCCCTCTCCTACAGGTCTGCTGCCACCAGGGTGGTGATCTGTAAACAGACCATTATAGTCACACTGTCCCTCTCCTACAGGTCTGCTGCCACCAGGGTGGTGATCTGTAAACAGACCATTATAGTCACACTGTCCCTCTCTTACAGGTCTGCTGCCACCAGGGTGGTGATCTGTAAACAGACCATTATAGTCACACTGTCCCTCTCCTACAGGTCTGCTGCCACCAGGGTGGTGATCTGTAAACAGACCATTATAGTCACACACTGTCCCTCTCTTACAGGTCTGCTGCCACCAGGGTGGTGATCTGTAAACAGACCATTATAGTCACACTGTCCCTCTCCTACAGGTCTGCTGCCACCAGGGTGGTGATCTGTAAACAGACCATTATAGTCACACTGTCCCTCTCCTACAGGTCTGCTGCCACCAGGGTGGTGATCTGTAAACAGACCATTGTAGTCACACTGTCCCTCTCCTACAGGTCTGCTGCCACCAGGGTGGTGATCTGTAAACAGACCATTATAGTCACACTGTCCCTCTCCTACAGGTCTGCTGCCACCAGGGTGGTGATCTGTAAACAGACCATTGTAGTCACACTGTCCCTCTCCTACAGGTCTGCTGCCACCAGGGTGGTGATCTGTAAACAGACCATTATAGTCACACTGTCCCTCTCCTACAGGTCTGCTGCCACCAGGGTGGTGATCTGTAAACAGACCATTGTAGTCACACTGTCCCTCTCCTACAGGTCTGCTGCCACCAGGGTGGTGATCTGTAAACAGACCATTATAGTCACACTGTCCCTCTCTTACAGGTCTGCTGCCACCAGGGTGGTGATCTGTAAACAGGTCACACTGTCCCTGCCACAGGTCTGCTGCCACCAGGGTGGTGATCTGTAAACAGACCATTGTAGTCACACTGTCCCTCTCTTACAGGTCTGCTGCCACCAGGGTGGTGATCTGTAAACAGACCATCTGTAAACACTGTCCCTCTCCTACAGGTCTGCTGCCACCAGAGTGGTATCTGTAAACCATTTATGTCACACTGTCCCTCTCTTACAGATCTGCTGCCACCAGGTGATCTATAAATGGAACATTATATTGGGTTTCATAGAATAAAGGTGAATGCAGCAGATAGGAGAGAAACATGTTAGTCAGATCTCACCCTCCTTAGGGCCTCACGCTTGTTCTGGATGTCACGACACTTGCACGTAGGAAAGACTCTCTGGACCAGTTTCTTCACCGTAATGTAGTCCACAGAATCGGCGTACACATGTCTGCGCAGCTCATCCAAATCCTGCGACTAAAAAACCCCAGGACTGATTCAGAATGGCCAAGGATTAGAAGCACAAGCTGTCACAGCAACCAGTCAGGTGTAATCCTTGAGCCTTATAGAAAGGTATCAGAAGTAACAGGACAGGAAATAGTTCAGTTCTGCGGCTTGTCAGACCCTTACATTTTGCACGATAACCCACAAAACCTCCATTAGCTACTGACCCTGGTGAGCCCCAGAAACCGCCACCCCCAGTCAGTCCCCTGCGACAATGTGATATTTGATGGACCTCCAACCCTTCTGAAAACAATGACTTCTCCGGCCCTTCGCTACAACGTGCTATCTGACGGACCTCCAACCCTTCTGAAGACAATGACTTCTCCGGCCCTCACTACAATAGGCTATCTGACGGACCTCCAACCCTTCTGAAGACAATGACTTCTCCGGCCCTCACTACAATAGGCTATCTGACGGACCTCCAACCCTTCTGAAGACAATGACTTCTCCGGCCCTCACTACAATAGGCTATCTGATGGACCTCCAACCCTTCTGAAAACAATGACTTTTCCGGCCCTCGCTACAATAGGCTGATGGACCTCCAACCCTTCTGAAAATAATGACTCCGGCCCTTCGCTACAATAGGCTATCTGATGGACCTCCAACCCTTCTGAAAACAATGACTTCTCCGGCCCTCGCTACAATAGGCTGATGGACCTCCAACCCTTCTGAAAATAATGACTCCGGCCCTTCGCTACAATAGGCTATCTGATGGACCTCCAACCCTTCTGAAAACAATGACTTCTCCGGCCCTTCGCTACAACGTGCTATCTGACGGACCTCCAACCCTTCTGAAGACAATGACTTCTCCGGCCCTCACTACAATAGGCTATCTGATGGACCTCCAACCCTTCTGAAGACAATGACTTCTCCGGCCCTTCGCTACAATAGGCTATCTGATGGACCTCCAACCCTTCTGAAAATAATGACTCCGGCCCTTCGCTACAATAGGCTATCTGATGGACCTCCAACCCTTCTGAAGACAAGGACTTCTCCAGTCCTCCACTACAATATACTATCTGATGGACCTCCAACCCTTGTGAAGACAAGGACTTCTCCGGCCCTCGCTTCTCCGGTACTGCCTACAACGTGCTATCTGATCAACCCCAAAGCCTTCTGAAAGCAATGACTTCTCCGGCCCTTCGCTACAATAGGCTATCTGATGGACCTCCATCCCTTCTGAAGACAAGGACTTCTCCAGTCCTCCACTACAATATGCTGATGGACCTCCAACCCTTCTGAAGACAATGGACTTCTCCAGTCCTGCACTACAATGTAATATCTGGTGGACTTCCACCCATTCTGAAGACTGAATTCTCTGATCATAACCTTTGGTCAGTGCTGGAAATAACAGCAAAGAGTCAGGAATGTCTGTAATGTGAATAAGGCCCAACAGGAAATGAGTCCATGTGCTTTGTATTAGAAGACTTACATTGGGGTCTAGGAAGAGGTGACAGTGGGCATCCTTGCCATCTCGCCCAGCTCTGCCAATCTCCTGGACGTAGCTCTCAAAGTTTTTAGGCATATTGTAATGGATGATCCCTCGAACGTCAGATTTATCCAGACCCATCCCGAACGCCACAGTAGCCACGACGATTCGAAGCTGACCACTCATGAAGTTGTTCTGTACCCTCCTGCGCTCAGCAGCCGACAACCCTGCATGGTATGAATCCGCCATCCACTTCAGTGGGCGGCGAATCTTCTTTCTTGCTGCAGGAGAAGAAATGATCATGTCTATATTAGATTTCCTGATATTCATGATAGTGACCGGAAATCATCTTATTCCTACCCTGCGCTTTCTTCTTGTCACTCTCCACTGACACATTCTCCTCTGCTGGGCGATTCACCATCACCCCCTGCAGGCACGTTCGAAGCAACGCGGCCAAGCGCTGTGTCTCCTCCCTTCGTGTGCAATAGATGATGACAGAATCCAGACAACAACCAAAACGTTCACCTTTTAGAAGCGTAACAAGTGCCTGAAATAAAAAAATGTATGGCAGGTGAGGGGAACAGGCAGGAGAGGGGACAGGCAGGAGAGGGGGAACAGGCAGGAGAGGGGACAGGCAGGAGAGGGGACAGGCAGGAGAGGGGGAACAGGCAGGAGAGGGGGAACAGGCAGGAGAGGGGACAGGCAGGAGAGGGGACAGGCAGGAGAGGGAACAGGCAGGAGAGGGAACAGGCAGGAGAGGGGGAACAGGCAGGTGAGGACAGAGGCACAAGGCGAGTCAGCAGAGGTGCCAGGTCAGGCAGGAGAGGACAGAGGCACAAGGCGAGTCAGCAGAGGTCTCAGGTTAGGCAGGAGAGGACAGAGGCACAAGGCGAGTCAGCAGAGGTGTCAGGTTAGGCAGGAGAGGACAGAGGCACAAGACGAGTCAGCAGAGGTCTCAGGTCAGGCAGGAGAGGACAGAGGCACAAGGCGAGTCAGCAGAGGTCTCAGGTTAGGCAGGAGAGGACAGAGGCACAAGGCGAGTCAGCAGAGGTGTCAGGTTAGGCAGGAGAGGACAGAGGCACAAGGCGAGTCAGCAGAGGTCTCAGGTTAGGCAGGAGAGGACAGAGGCACAAGGCGAATCAGCAGAGGTCTCAGGTTAGGCAGGAGAGGCCAGAGGCACAAGGCGAGTCAGCAGAGGTCTCAGGTTAGGCAGAAGAGGACAGAGGCACAAGGCGAGTCAGCAGAGGTCTCAGGTTAGGCAGGAGAGGACAGAGGCACAAGGCGAGTCAGCAGAGGTCTCAGGTTAGGCAGGAGAGGACAGAGGCACAAGACGAGTCAGCAGAGGTGCCAGGTTAGGCAGGAGAGGACAGAGGCACAAGGCGAGTCAGCAGAGGTGCCAGGTTAGGCAGGAGAGGACAGAGGCACAAGGCGAGCCAGCAGAGGTCTCAGGTTAGGCAGGAAAAGACAGAGGAGCAAGGCGAGTCAGCAGAGGTCTCAGGTTAGGCAGGAGAGGACAGAGGAGCAAGGCGAGTCAGCAGAGGTCTCAGGTTAGGCAGGAGAGGACAGAGGCACAAGGCGAGTCAAGAGAGTAGAGATACGTCAAGTGAGGCAGGAGAGGTAGAAGGTAAGGGAAATCATTATCATATAATTGCATTTCTCCTGCCCCCCCAAAAAGCCCAACAAGAACAGAACCCAATGGTGTCACCTGGTCCCGGTCTTGGTCCATGGACACAGATAGGTGTAGATTAGGAGGCACAGCTGCCAGCCGCAGAGGCGTCTTGTCGATGTCTGACACCTCCAGGTGACGGGCTACATCTTGAGCGGTACCCAGGGTGGCTGTGGCTGTAAGGCCAAGAAGACACCGCACACCGAGGCGTTCCCGGAGAACCTGAGAAACAAGCAGTGTGTGAGCTCCAACTGCGGACTTCCAGGACTCCTTTCCATCTCAGAGAATGAGAAGGTCATACTCACTTTACACAGCCGAAGGTAACAAGGCCGGAAGTTGTGGGACCACTCCGAGACACAGTGAACTTCATCTATACATGCAAAGGCCACTGGGGGGAGCTGGTCAGCAGGGGGCAAACAACTGGATCCTGACAGACCCCCACCAACCAGAGCCTCCGGGGAAAGGAGCAGCACGTGCACCTTGCCTTGTTTCACCTGAAAAGACCAAATTATTTAAAGGAAGGAAGGAAGAGGTAGAATATGGGGAGGAAAAGTTCCATAACAATCAGTTCTGTATACCTGAACAACGTGACAGGACCATGGTACAGCAAACTCATAGGGGGTTCCCAAAAGGTCTGCACCCCGTTATATTATCATTACAGTATTATGAAAAAGCTGATCTGGAACCTTCCACCCAAAATGCTCATCTCCCGCCTTCCACAGAAGAGGACACCCTACAAGGAGGAAGGACACCCGACATAACCGGGTACATAGGAGACCTCCTCACCTTCTCCATAGCTGCTTCTCGCTGATTTCTTGTCATGTTGGAGTGAATACACACGGCTTTAAGTTTGGAGGGAAGACCAGACACCTAGAAGGGGTGGAATGGACAGTTAGCAAGAACTGCAACAACCATCAGTGCATGGTACTTACTAATCCAGACCTGGAGCCCCATCCACTCTGCTCACCCCGTCCAGGCCTGGAGCCCCATCGCCTCTATTCACCCCGTCCAGGCCTGGAGCCCCATCGCCTCTATTCACCCCGTCCAGGCCTGGAGCACCATCCACTCTGCTCACCTCGTCCAGGCCTGGAGCCCCATCGCCTCTATTCACCCCGTCCAGGCCTGAAACCCCATCGCCTCTATTCACCCCGTCCAGGCCTGGAGCCCCATCGCCTCTGCTCACCCCGTCCAGGCCTGGAGCCCCATCGCCTCTGCTCACCCCGTCCAGGCCTGGAGCCCCATCGCCTCTGCTCACCCCGTCCAGGCCTGAAGCCCCATCGCCTCTGCTCACCCCGCCAGGCCTGAATCCCCATCGCCTCTGCCCACCCTGTCCAGGCCTGGAGCCCCATCGCCTCCGCCCACCCCATCCAGGCCTGGAGCCCCATCTCCTCTGCTCACCCCGTCCAGGCCTGGAGCTCCATCGCCTCTGCTCACCCTGTCCAGGCCTGAAGCCCCATCGCCTCTGCTCACCCTGTCCAGGCCTGAAGCCCCATCGCCTCTGCTCACCCTGTCCAGGCCTGAAGCCCCATCACCTCTGCCCACCCCGTCCAGGCCTGGAGCCCCATCTCCTCTGCTCACCCCCCATGCAGACCTGGAGCCCCATCGCCTCTATTCACCCCGTCTAGGCCTGGAGCCCCATCGCCTCTGCTCACCCTGTCCAGGCCTGAAGCCCCATCACATCTATTCACCCTGTCCAGGCCTGGAGCCCCATCGCCTCTGCTCACTCTGTCCAGGCCTGAAGCCCCATCGCCTCTGCTCACTCTGTCCAGGCCTGGAGCCCCATCACCTCTACTCAACCTGTCCAGGCCTGGAGCCTCATCGCCTCTGCTCATCCCGTCCAGACCTGGAGACCCATCACCTTTGCTCACCACGTCCCAGATCTGGAGTCCCATTGCCTCTACTCACCCCGTCCAGGCCTGGAGCCTCATCGCCCCTATTCACTCCGTCCAGGCCTAAAGTCTCATCGCCTCTACACACCCCGTTCAGACCTGGAGCCCCATCGCCTCTACTCATCCCATCCAGACCTGAAGCCCCATCGCCTCTGCTCAACCTCGCCAGACTTGGAGCCACATCACCTCTATTCAACCCGTCCAGACCTGGAGCCCCATTACCTCTATTCACCCCGTCCAGACCTGAAGCCCCATCGTCTCTATTCACCCCGTCCAGACCTGAAGCTCCATCGCCTCTATTCACCCCGCCAGACCTGGAGCCCCATTGCCTCTATTCACCCCTACCAGACCTGAAGCCCCATAGCCTCTATTCACCTCGCAGCACCTGGAGTCCCAGCGCCTCTATTCACCCTGAGCCCCATCACAGATCCATGTAAAGCACCTACACCTCTATTCACCATGCTTAGACCTGGAGCCCCATCACCTATATTCACCCCGCCAGACCTGGAGCACCATCGCCTCTATTCACCCCGCCAGACCTGGAGCCCCATCGCCTCTATTCACCCCGTCCAGACCTATAGTCCCATCATTTCTATTCACCCTATCCAAACCCAAGGACCAGTCCAGACCCTGAGCCCCATCACAGCTCCATGTAAAGCACCTTCACCTCTATTCGCCATGCTCAGACCTGGTGCCCTTTCCCTTGTATTCATTCCATCTAGACCCAAATCCCCTTCACCTCCATCACTCCTCTGGACCTACAGCCCCTCCACCTATACCAAATGGACCCCACACTGGTTTGTTTCTTTTCACCCCATCTGCACTAGTTCCTTCACCTCTATTCACTCTGTCCAAGCCTGGAGCCCCTTCACCTCTATCACCCCTCTGGACCCGTAGCTCCTTCACCAACGTTATCCCATTCTGACCTTAAGCTGCATCATCTTAGCTTTTCCTGACCCAGTTCCCAAGTGCCTCTATTTACACTTTCCAAACCAAGAGCCCCATTACCTCTATTCACTCCCTCCAGACTTGAAGCCCCTTCACTTCTATCACCTCCTGCTTTGCTTCCATCGCAACCCCAGGCCTGGAGCCCCATCGCAACCCCAGGCCTGGAGCCCCATCACAACTCCAGGCCTGGAGCCCCATCTCCTCCATCGCAACTCCAGGCCTAGAGCCCCATCGGCTCCATCGCAACTCCAGGCCTGGAGCCCCATCGCCTCCATCGCAACTCCAGGCCTGGAGCCCCATCGCCTCCATCGCAACTCCAGGCCTGGAGCCCCATCACCTCCATCACAATTCCAGGCCTGGAGCCCCATCGCCTCCATCACAACTCTAGGCCTAAAGCCCCATCGCCTCCATCGCAATCCCAGGCCTGGAGCCCCATCACCTCCGTCATCCCACCAGACTCTGTGCCCCATCACCTCCATCATCCCACCAGACTCTGAGCCCCATCACCTCTACCAACCCTTTAGGCTTGGAGCCCATTCTCCTTTGGTAGTACTCTCCAGTACGACAGACAATACACACCGGTACAATCCATACAGCGCAGTATATAAGGGGTCTAATACAGAATTAAGGTGATAGAACAGTTCCCTTTTGATGCAATGCTCGGTGGAAACGTTACCTGGTCATCCATCAGTGACACTAGTGGTGATATGACCAGCGTGATGCACGGTGACCTCTTTGCATACATGAATGCTGGTAGCTGATAACACAGAGATTTCCCCATTCCTGTGGAGAGGATTACCAGGGAGGACAGACCTGAAACAGCAGAGATGGTTGGTGAGAAGACAGAAGGGAGGCAGCTTTAGGGAACTGATGGGAGGACACTGCCAAGGCTCAATCACTGGCTGGTACCTCAAGATAGAGGAGGACAGGAACATTGAACAAACCAAGTAATGGGTACCCGTCTTACCGGATAGGATCCTCATGATGGCCTCTTCCTGCCCTGGACGGAAACGGTGATAACCCAACTCAGCAAGTGCGGCGTACACCTCGGGGGGCGTATCTGTCGGCCAGAAAGGATTACATTATTATTTCAGGAGCTCAGAATTTGTCATCGTAAAATGACCTCAACTCACACATTATATGTATACAGTAATGCCACTCCTAGCACTGTAAGTAGCCGGTGTGTCCAATGGGCAACAAATAGAACAGAGCCCAGGTCAAACCCGAGTGGCTAAGCTGCAGCATAATAAACTGCAAATAAAAGAGAAAAAAAACTAATTCTACCACGTAACAAGACTCAGGTCTGTCTGGAGTATGCCGTCCAGTTCTAGTCACCAGTACTCAGGAAGGAAATGCTGGAACTGGAGAGAGTCCAGACAAGGGCAACAAAGCAAAAAAGAGGGATGGAGGAGCTCGGCTATGGGGGGGATGGAGGAGCTCGGCTATGGGGGGGATGGAGGAGCTCGGCTATGGGGGGGATGGAGGAGCTCGGCTATGGCGGATGAAAGAGCACAGCTATGGCGGATGAAGGAGCTCAGCTATGGCGGATGAAAGAGCTCAGCTATGGCAGATGAAAGAGCTCAGCTATGGCGGATGAAGGAGCTCAGCTATGGCGGATGAAGGAGCTCAGCTATGGCGGATGAAGGAGCTCAGCTATGGGGGGGATGGAGGAGCTCAGCTATGGCAGATGAAGGAGCTCAGCTATGGCAGATGAAGGAGCTCAGCTATGGCAGATGAAGGAGCTCAGCTATGGCAGATGAAGGAGCTCAGCTATGGCAGATGGAGGAGCACAGCTATGGGGGATGGAGAAGCACAGCTATAGGGGATGGAGGAGCACAGCTATAGGGGATGGAGGAGCACAGCTATAGGGGATGGAGGAGCTCAGCTATGGCGGATGGAGGAGCACAGCTATGGGGAACAACTGCAAACATTAAACTCCCTACATCCCATTCTCTGTAAGAAAGGAAGTCCCACCTCCCCTAAATAACAAGCCCTCACCCAGAGAAGAAGTTATACCTCCATGGACAAGTAGCCCTCACCCAGGGAAGACATACCTCCATGGATAAGTATCCCTCACCCAGAGAAGAAGTCATACCTCCATAAAAAAACAAGCCTTCAGCCAGAACAGAAGTCATACCTCCATGAATAAGTAGCCTTCACCCAGAGAGAAAGTCAAACCTCAATGGACAAGTAGCTCTCATGCAGAGAGTAAGTCATACCTCCATGAACAAGTAGCCCTCACCCAGGGAAGAAGTCATACCTCCATAGAGAAGTAGCTCTCACCCAGGGAAGAAGTCGTACCTTCATGGATAAGTAACCCTCACCCCGTGAAGAAGTCATACCTCCATGGATAAGTAGCCCTCACCCAAAGAAAGTCATACCTCAGTGGAGAACTAGCCCTCACCCAGAGGGAGTCATATCTCCAAAAATAACAAGCCCTCACCCAGAGAGGCATTCATACCTTGGACTGTCCCTGATGGTTCCAGCTCATAAAGAGGCGTCATGGTGGGAGGGAGTGGGGCTGGTTCATATACCGGCCTGATCACTTCGTGGTTCGCATTATGGTGACCTTCACAGATTTCTGAAATCAAACACAGCAAACCATGTCAGTGCCCATTTGTAGAACGAATGCCTATACCCAAATCAGCAGAAAAGTAGATTGCTGAGCCACTTCCTATTTGGCATTAGAAAGAAAAAAAAAAAAGCACAGAAGCGCCATACCGACCAATCACAATGTTTTTTTTTTTATTTTCACATAAAATGCAATTGGTTGTTATGGGATGACACAAATCCATATTCCCTGTATGGGGGGGGTTATGTCCCATGTGGAAGCCAGAACTGGACAGAATAAGTCCCCCGGATAGGTCATACCACTCGGATGGCTGAACCATTATATTTAAAGCATACTGAATGAGCCACAAATAACACTCGATGGGCCAACCCACACTATCTGGAGGGCTGTACCATTATGGTGGGTATACACTCACCAGCCACTTTATTAGGTCCACCAGTTCAATTGCTTGGTAACACAATTTGCTAATCAGCCAATCACATGGAAGCAGCTCAATGCATTTAGGCATCTAGACGTTGTTAACACAACTTGCTGAAGTTCAAACCGAGCTTCAGAATGGGGAAAAATGGTGATTTAAGTGACTTTGAATGTGGCATGGTTGTTGGTGCCATATGGAATGGTCTGAGTATTTCAAAAACTGCTGATTTACTGGGGTTTTCCCGCACAACCATCTCTAGGGGTTTACAGAGAATGGTCCGAAAAAGAGAAAATAACCAGTGAGCGGAAGTTGAGTGGAGGAAAATGTCTTGTTGATATCAGAGGTCAGAGGAGAATGGGCAGACTGGTTGCTGCAACATTCAGATGGTAGGGTCAGAATTTGGTGTAAAAAACATGAAAGCATGGATCCATCCTGCCTTGTATCCACGGTTCAGGCTGGTGGTGGTGTCATGGTTCCATACTGCCTTGTATCAATGGTTCAGGCTGGTGGTGGTGTCATGGATCCACACTGGCCTTGTATCAATGGTTCAGGGTGGTGGTGTCATGGTGTAGGGAATCCAGCCTGCCTTGTATCAATGGTTCAGGCTGGTGGTGGTGGCGTCATGGTGTAGGGAATCCATCCTGCCTTGTATCCACGGTTCAGGCTGGTGGTGGGGGTGTCATGGTGTGATGGATCCATCCTGCCTTGTATCAATGGTTCAGGCTGGTGGTGTCATGGTGTGGTGGATCCATCCTGCCTTGTATCAATGGTACAGGCTGGTGGTGGGAGTGTCATGGTGTGGTGGATCCATACTGCCTTGTATCAATGGTTCAGGCTGGTGGTGGTGGTGTCATGGTGTGGTGGATCCATACTGCCTTGTATCAATGATTCAGGCTGGTGGTGGTGGTGTCATGGTGTGTGGGGAATCCAGCCTGCCTTGTATCAATGGTTCAGATTGGTGGTGGTGGTGGCGTCATGGTGTGGGGAATCCAGCCTGCCTTGTATCAATGGTTCAGGCTGGTGGTGGCGTCATGATGTGGGGAATCCGTCCTGCCTTGTATCCACGGTTCAGGCTGGTGGTGTCATGGTGTGGTGGATTCATCCTGCCTTGTATCAATGGTTCAGGCTGGTGGTGGGAGTGTCATGGTGTGGTGGATCCATCCTGCCTTGTATCCATAGTTCAGGCTGGTGGTGGTGGTGTCATGGATCCTTACTGCCTTGTATCAATGGTTCAGGCTGGTGGCGTCATGGTGTGGGGAATCCATCCTGCCTTGTATCAATGGTTCAGGCTGGTGGCGTCATGGTGTGGGGAATCCATCCTGCCTTGTATCAATGGTTCAGGCTGGTGGTGGTGGCGTCATGGTGTGGGGAATCCATCCTGCCTTGTATCAATGGTTCAGGCTGGTGGTGGTGGTGTCATGGTGTGGTGGATCCATTCTGCCTCGTATCCACGGTTCAGGCTGGTGGTGGTGTCATGGTGTGGGGGAGATTTTCTTGGCACTAGCAAGGAGGACCTAATAAAATGGTCGGTGAGTGTATGGAAAGCATATTGAATGAGCCAATCCACACCATATGGAGGGGTGTACCATTATGGCGGGTATAATTAAAACACACTGGTTGGGTCGTACCATTACATCCACACAATACAATACACACAGGACAGATAGAAACATTTCAGGATTGCAATCCCCTTGCCAGGATTTGGAGGAATTAAATATTTCAGAAAACATGAAGAGGGGAGAGTTCTGCAGTCAATATTGGGTCGCCCTGAATGAGTGCCATTATGTGCCCCTCACCCGTGATGGTCCCCATCGGAGTGTTGGTCATCCTGGCCACATCCTCCAGTGATGGTAACATGATCTCTTCCTCCATAGGCTCCGCCTCCTCAGGCTTCGTAACCGGAAGTACTGGAAGAAAAGAACATGGCGCACAATGAATGTTACTCTCTACTACAGATATATAAAAACATGGAGAAATTGAACCAAAATCTATTCCAAATTCATGTATAGCAGACTGAGTAACCTACTCTCATCTTGTACCTCAGACAGTTCAGCGATGAAGTCTCCGAAGCAAAAGTTTCTATTCCTTCTACCGTACACCATAGCATGCAGGTTGTTCTGCTCACCTTGGGGAGTTCCCACCCACATGGGGTTTTCCCATGCCTCGTTAGTCATCTTACATAAAATTTCAGCAGAGTGAAGGAGACCCCTCGTAGTGGCCTTGGCAAGAGCAAAGACCTGAGAACCCAACCACAGAAATGGTTTACCTGGGCATCTGGGAAATATAATAAACCATTAGAGAATCTAACAAAACCAAGAACCTTTATTTTGGGAGACGATTCCCTGGACTAGTCTGGATTTCTTTTCCTGAGGTTTTAATGAAAGAAAGAATTTTATTCAGTTTTTTTTGTAAAGAAACATTTCCATGTGTGTCAATGGTCACACTTCTCCGGGACTGTTAGAGCCATAGGAAATGTGCTGTAACCGCTAGCAACCATCACAGCTAATGAGTGAAGTCTGTTGGTGTCACCCAACTGCCATTATAATATGTGCTTCCACTATACCTTTGCCAGGACACTGAGATGCCCAATGACCCTTCCTGCCACAATGGAAGCAAGTATCCTCACTGCGGTTAAAATGTTTTCCTCCTCCACCAAACTGCTCTCCCTTCTTCTGCCACTTCTGCTTCCACATCTGAAAAAGAAGAAGATATAAATATAGAGACAAGGAGGACGCTGGCCCAGCCACAGTCCCAAACCAAGCCAGACAAGGAGAACAACAACCCAGCCACAGCCCCATACAAAGCCAAACAAGGAGAACATCAACCAAGCCACAGCCCCATACAAAGCCGGACAAGGAGAACATCAACCGAGCCACAGCCCCATACAAAGCCAGACAAGGAGGAAACTGAGCCAATAACCCCATAGCAAGAAGAACACTGGCCCAGCCAAAGCCCTATACAAAGCCAGACAAGGAGAACATCAACCCAGCCACAGCCCCATACAAAGCCAGACAACGAGAACATCAATCCGGACACAGCCCCATACAAAGCCAGACAAGGAGGAAACTGAGCCAATAACCCCATAGCAAGGAGAACACTGGCCCAGCCAAAGCCCTATACAAAGCCAGACAAGGAGAACATCAACCCAGCCACAGCCCCATACAAAGCCAGACAAGGAGAACATCAATCCGGACACAGCCCCATACAAAGCCAGACAAGGAGAACATCAACCCAGTCACAGTCACAGCCCCATACAAAGCCAAACAAGGAGAACAATAACCCAGCCACAGCCCCATACAAAGCCAGAGAAGGAGAACATCAACTGAGCCACAGCCCCATACAAAGCCAGACAAGGAGAACATCAACCGACCCACAGCCCCATACAGAGCCAGACAAGGAGGAAACTGAGCCAATAACCCCATAGCAAGGAGAACATTGGCCCAGCCAGAGCCCTATACAAAGCCAGACAAGGAGAATGCTGGTCCAACTACAGCCCCATGCCAAGCCCAGAAAAGTAGAACATCAACCCAGCCACAGCCCCATACAAAGCCGGACAAGGAGAACATCAACCCAGCCACAGCCCCATACAAAGGCAGACAAGGAGGAAACTGAGCCAATAATCCCATAGCAAGGAGAACACTGGCCCAGCCAGAGCCCTATACAAAGCCAGACAAGAAGAATGCTGGTCCAACTACAGTCCCATGCCAAGCCAGACAAGGAGAATGCTGGCCTAGTCACAGTCCCATGCCAAGCCAGACAAGGAGAATGCTGGCCCAGCCACAGTCCTATAAATGAAAGACAAGAAGGAAGTTGACCCAATAGCCCATATAAAGCAGGGCAAGGAGAATGCTGGCCCAGCCACAGTTCCATACCAATCCAGACATTACCTGCTTTCTCAGTCTGCTGCCATTTAACACAAAACTTTTTACGTGGGATTTCTTCTTCAGATTAATGCGGACAAAGTTCTCTGTTCTCCTCTGTGGCACCCTGTTGGAAAAACGTTGTACAAGTCACAGATCATCACCATCTCCACAGGGCTAGGGTGAGACATACACTACCCTCCCCCATCCCATCCCAGAAAAATGTCCCAATCCACTGTCATTTATCTGTTACTCCAATGTGCCATGGTCAACACGTCCCCCTCCATGATTACACATCTAATCAAATCAGAACATCTCCTGGAACCTCCAGACATTTCTCATCTAATTAGTACAGGGCAATGGAAGGCATGACTAGAGAGGCATCTTCTGCCCCCCCCCCCCCCCCCCCCCCCCAGGAGTCCTTAGTATGAATTCTGAGCCTCATCATATGGACCAATTACTGGTGTACTGTTATATGATCCTGCAGAGTACACAAGGGAAAAGACTGTGTGTGTATGATCAATGTGTGCCCCCAAGTCGACCAATCTCAATTCATCTCCTATATTGGACTAACCCTTCAGACAAAACCCCCCCCATAGGGGGAGCAGATCTACGAACAGCATAAAACATGGGCAGCACTGGAATTTGCTGTTATTACCGTAATAAACCAGAACAATATCGCCTGTCCACCCCTCAGAACCTGGGTTCATTTTGTTACCATGTTCTCCATATTCAACACAATGGAGCTCAGCACTGCCCCGTAATACAAACTCCACCCACTCCACCTCTCCAAAACACTCCCTGGGGCTCTTAGCTTGTACCTGGCACTTTGCGGAATTTGTGCAGCGACTCTCTTCATATCTTCTTCCATCATTTCCCCCAGGATGTTCTCTGTCATTCGGCTGGAGACTTCAGTTGTGGGCGGATCCTCAGAGTCTTCACCTACTTTAGACTTTTTTTGGGCCTCGCTTGGGACTCTTCTCCTCTGTGGTCAGCTTTGCTTTGCGTTGTCTCTTCCGTGAGTGAACATCCTCAGGATCTGCATTGTTTGTCGCATCCCTTCGCCTTTTCCTACGTGAGACTTTCCCATTCTGTGAAGTCAGGTCACTCCCCTTACTGTCCTCTGTGAGCCCCTCCAGCTCTTTATATTTTTCCTGTATAATGGATGGATTACTTGACCCGGTTGATGATGCAGCTTCCATATTTGGTCCATCGTTTGGTCCAGGTGATTGATGGATGACGTCTTTATTCCTCTCTGAGACCAGAAGGATCTTCTTTCTTTGTTCTTCAGGGTTTGTTTCCACCTCCTTCAGGTGATGGTTTGGTGATCTGGTCTTTACTGGTTCACTCATCTTCTTGCAGTCTGCAGCACTGGTGGTCATGTGTGGAATATCCTCTGTAGACAAGACACTCCCCTGTGTCTTGGTGTCATCTATTGACTTCACTTCATGCTTCACCTCACGCTGACCCCTCCCGGAATGAGGAGAATGTCCATCTACAGAAGACCACTGGAAGTCCATCAGCTCCAACCCAGCCTTTCTTTCTCTCCTCTCTTCCATAATTGGTTTATCTCCCTGTCCTGCTCCTGCCCCTCTGAGCTCACATCTCTGCAACCAGTCATGGTCCAGTGAGGACAGGCGTTGCCCAACTTTAGACTGGAGCTGGTGAAGCTTCCTCCCAACACCATTATGACTGGAAGGGGTTAAATTAACCTTGTGGGTTCTTAGGCCCATTGTAAGAAGAGGCAAATCCTCCGTGGAGTCTGGAGGACGGTCAGGAGTAGGATCAGTGGATGGTTCAGGTGGGACAGAGGTGGGCGATGGCTCAGGTGGGACACAGGTGGGCATTGGCTCAGGTGGGACACAGGTGGGCGATGGCTCAGGTGGGACACAGGTGGGCGATGGCTCAGGTGGGACACACGAGGGCGATGTAACAGTCTTCTTCTTTAAGGACCATGGACGGTTCTAGGGAGAAAACAATGGAAAGTGTCCATAGCCAGAGCTGTAAAAGTGTAACAAGTATCATCCCCATTAACTCTGCACCGGCCTCCCTGTTAGAGACACACTGGAAGTCCTTTATAAGACATGACCTGAACGAACTCTTCATAATATATTGGAAGATCAGCGACACACCCAACAATTCCCACCAGTATGGACATACCACTATGGATACACCGACTCTACAGAGGACACCCCTCATTACTCAGTGGGATGATGATCCTGGAAAAGCTGACAGTAACATTACAGGACTTTATGCTGACCTGGACTCTTCAATCCTCTCATTACTCCCAAGGGCCCCTCATTTGTCCCCATTAGAAGTCAATCCAATACTACCATTGAACAGAATACTCTCCACGTGACTCCGCCCTGAATAAAAGGAAACCATTTAGAGTTTGGATGCCGAGGAGTTGCATATTCCTCCTCCGGTGAGATTTGGCAGAATGTTAGGATAGTTTTCATTGTGTGATGAAGGGGTTAATGTAAGGTTTAGGGGCTCAGTCTGAGTCACGGTCGGGGGGGCTCAGTCTGGGTCACGGTCGGGGGCTCAGTCTGGGTCACATTCCGGGGCTCAGTCTGGCTCACATTCCGGGGGTTCAGTCTGGCAGTTGATCTCACATTCCGGGGTTCAGTCTGGCTCACATTCCGGGGGTTCAGTCTGGCTCACATTCCGGGGGTTCAGTCTGCTCACATTCCGGGGGTTCAGTCTGGCTCACATTCCGGGGGTTCAGTCTGGCTCACATTCCGGGGGTTCAGTCTGGCTCACATTCCGGGGTTCAGTCTGGCTCACATTCCGGGGGTTCAGTCTGGCTCACATTCCGGGGGTTCAGTCTGGCTCACATTCCGGGGGTTCAGTCTGGCTCACATTCCCGGGGGTTCAGTCTGGCTCACATTCCGGGGGTTCAGTCTGGGTCACATTCCGGGGCTCAGTCTGGGTCACATTCGGGGGTTCAGTTAGCTCAGATATGTCATACTGAAGCAGTATGGAGGCTGCCATAGCCGACCTGTCTGAAAATGCCAGATCCCTGGCTGTCATGCTGATATAATAATGCCAGTACTTGGCATACGGGGTCAGACTGAAATTAAAGGTGTATGGGGACATTAACATTTAACGTTTTTGTTAAAAAAAAATGAACTTTCATGGCGATTACTCAGATTTTCAGTCTTTTTCTTCTGTAAATGTCAATGGCAAAAAGCCGGCCTGTCCAAGAAGGGAGACAGAAAGACAGTCCCACCCACATACCCCTCCCCCCCCCCCAGGAGGGATTAGACAAATGGCACCACCCACGGAGGGAGACAGACCACCCCACCCACAGTGAAGGGTAAAAATATGGCCCTGCCCATGCAGAAGCCATATGGGCCCGCCTACGAGGGAAGGGAGACACCCAGGTGGCCCGCCCACAAGGGAAGGGAGACACCCAGGTGGCCCGCCCACAAGGGAAGGGAGACACCCAGGTGGCCCGCCCACAAGGGAAGGGAGACGTGGTACATACTGTATGTAGAGATGAGTCAGACAGACACTGACATGAAGGACAGCTGACCTTCCCAGCTCCTCCCAGGTTGGATTTGAGTTTCATTCCATAGTACTGCGCAGACGCTTTGAGGGAGGAGCGCTCTGAGGAGTCATCTTTGGGGTCACACTGGCGGCACGGTTCAGATGGCTCCCCCAAGAGTCGGGTTCCTGCTGACCAGTAAAACACACAAATTGTATTCCCGGGAAGAACATTCCCCCGTCTCACATTCTAAACCATTACAACCACGTTGAGGTGCCTCAGTATGTCCTCTCCTACCACAATCCATGAGAGTACCAACGCTGGGACAAACACTGCACTGAGGACACCCCGGTAAGGGTCCAGGACAGGAGACCCCCAACTGGTACAAGGCAGAATACAGCTCCTCTGTATGCAGGGAGCCATTACAAGTACATAAGAGCACACCCTCCCCCACTCAGTAAGAGAGGGTGAGACACCAGTCATGGGGTCGTGGACTCAAGAGAGGACTGTGAAAAAGACTGCTCTTAGTGCCACTAATGGGAGGGGGGGGTAAAGTGTGCCCCCTGGCTGTAAAGTCCTGCCACTTCACATGTCTGCATGTACAACACAAACTCCCGGGACTGGCCAGTTATTATACCTTTGTGGCTGCCCTGCAGACTGAGGACATCGGAAGATTCTTCTATAGTACATTTGTGGGCCAAGCAGAGTCTCCAGATCCTCCTGAGGAAGTGGCTGGGTGTCGGGTCTCACAAAAACGCGTAGAGGGCCCCCACAGCCCCAAGGGGTACTATGACTATTACATACGGTGGGTAGGATGGAAAGTAACCCACGGTAACTGAGCAATTAGATGTGTTATCTATAAATCTGTGGGGACGGTAATCGCCCCATGGGGTACCATACACGTGTCTAGGGAGGTGTAGAGGGATGATGGGGGAGGGTAATATCGCCCCATGGGGTACAATACACGTGTCTAGGGAGTGGTGTAGAGGGATGATGGGGAGGGTAATCGCCCCTATGGGGTACACCATACACGTGTCTAGGGAGGTGTAGAGGATGATGATGTGGGATGGGTAATCGCCCCCATGGGGTACCATACACATGTCTAGGGAGAGGTCCTTTGAGTAGAGGGAATTATGGGGAGGGTAATCCCCCCATGGGTACCATACACGTGTCTAGGGAGGTGTAGAGGGATGATGGGGAGGGTAATCGCCCCATGGGGTACCAATACACTGTCTTGGGAGGTGTAGAGGGATGATGGGGAGGGTAATCGCCCCATGGGGTACATACATGACGATACACGTGTCCTGGGAGGTGTAGAGAGGGATGGGGATGGGGAGGGTAATCGCCCCATGGGTACCATACACACGTGTCTAGGGAGGTTGTAGAGGGATGATGGTGAGGGTAATCGCGCCCATGGGGTACCATACAACTGTGTCTTGGATGTGTAGATGGGGGTAGGTGTAGAGGGATGATGGGGGGAGAGGTAATCGCCCCATGGGGTACCATACACATGTGTCTTGGGAGGTGTAGGAGGGATGATGGGGAGGGTAATTATCGCCCCATGGGGGTACCATACACAAGTGTCTTGGGAGGTTGTAGAGGGTATGATGGGGAGGGGTAATCGCCCCGTGGGGTACCATACCACGTGTCTTGGCAGGTGTAGAGGGATGATGGTGAGGGTAATCGCCCCCTGGGGTACCATACACGTGTCTTGGGAGGTGTAGAGGGATGATGGGGATGGTAATCGCCCCATGGGGTACCATACCACGTGTCTTTGGAGGTGTAGAGGGATGATGGGGAGGGTAATCGCCCCATGGGGTAACCATACACATGTGTCTTGGGAGGTGTAGAGGGATGATGGGGAGGGTAATCGCCCCATGGGGGTGTACCATACACACGTGTGTCTTGGCAGGTATAGAGGGATGATGGTGAGGGTAATCGCCCCATGGGGTACCATACACAAGTGTCTTGGCAGGTATAGATAGATGATGGTGAGGGTAATCGCCCCATGGGGTACCATACACATGTGTCTTGGGAGGAAGTGTAGAGGGATGATGGGGAGGGTAATCGCCCCATGGGGTACCATACACACGTGTCTTGGCAGGTATAGAGGGATGATGGGTGAGGGTAATCGCCCCATAGGGTACCATACACATGTGTCTTGGGAGGTGTAGAGGGATGATGGGAAAAGAGGTAATCGCCCATGGGGTACCATACACGTGTCTAGGGAGGTGTAGAGGGATGATGGGGAGGGTAATCGCCTCATGGGGTACCATAACACGTGTCTAGGGAGGTGTGTAGAGGGATGATGGGGAGGTAATCGCCCCATGGGGGTACCATACACGTGTCTTAGGGAGGTGTAGAGGGATGATGGGGAGGGTAATCGCCCCATGGGGTACGATACACGTGTCTAGGGAGGTGTAGAGGGATGATGGGGAGGGTAATCGCCCCATGGGGTACCATACACATGTGATCTTGGGAGGTGTAGAGGGATGATGGGGAGGGTAATCGCCCCGTGGGGTACCATACACATGTGTCTTGGGAGGTGTAGAGGGATGATGGGGAGGGTAATCGCCCCATGGGGTACCATACATGTGTCTTGGCAGGTTATAGAGGGATGATGGTGAGGGTTATTGGCCCCATGGGGTACCATACATGTGTCTTGGGAGGTGTAGAGGGAAGATGGGGAGGGTAATTAAAAAAAAAAAAAAAAAAAAAAAAAACGCCCCATGGGGTACCATACACGTGTCTAGGGAGGTGTAGAGGGATGATGGGGAGGGTAATCGCCCCATGGGGTACCATACACGTGTGTCTAGGGGAGGTGTAGAGGGATGATGGGGAGGGTAATCGCCCCATGGGGTACCATACACGTGTCTAGGGAGGTGTAGAGGGATGATGGGAAGGTAATCGCCCATGGGGTACCATACACGTGTCTAGGGAGGTGTAGAGGGATGATGGTGAGGGTAATCGCCCCATGGGGTACCATACACGTGTCTAGAGAGTGTAGAGGGATGATGGGGAGGGTAATCGCCCCATGAGGTACCATACATGTGTCTAGTGAGGTGTAGAGGGATGATGGGGAAGGTAATCGCCCCATGGGGTACCATACACGTGTCTAGGGAGGTGTAGAGGGATGATGGTGAGGGTAATCGCCCCATGGGGTACCATACACATGTGTCTTGGGAGGTGTAGAGGGATGATGGGGAGGGTAATCGCCCCATGGGGTACCATACACATGTGTCTTGGGAGGTGTAGAGGGATGATGGGGAGGGTAATCGCCCCATGGGGTACCATACACACGTGTCTTGGGAGTGTAGAAGGATGATGGGGAGGGTAATCGCCCCATGGGGTACCATACACGTGTCTTGGCAGGTGTAGAGGGATGATGGTGAGGGTAATCGCCCCATGGGGTACCATACACGTGTCTTGGGAGGTGTAGAGGGATGATGGGGATGGTAATCGCCCCATGGGGTACCATACACGTGTCTTGGGAGGTGTAGAGGGATGATGGGGAGGGTAATCGCCCCATGGGGTACCATACACGTGTCTTGGGAGTGTAGAGGGATGATGGGGAGGGTAATCGCCCCATGGGGTACCATACACATGTGTCTTGGGAGGTGTAGAGGGATGATGGGGAGGGTAATCGCCCCATGGGGTACCATACACGTGTCTTGGGAGGTGTAGAGGGATGATGGGGAGGGTAATCGCCCCATGTGGGGTACCATACACGTGTCTTGGGAGGTGTAGAGGGATGATGGTGAGGGTAATCGCCCCATGGGGTACCATACACGTGTCTTGGGAGGTGTAGAGGGATGATGGGAGGGTAATCGCCCCATGGGGTACCATACACGTGTCTTGGGAGGTGTAGAGGGATGATGGGGAGGGTAATCGCCCCATGGGGTACCATACACATGTGTCTTGGGAGGTGTAGAGGGATGATGGGAGGGTAATCGCCCCATGGGGTACCATACACAAGTGTCCTTGGCAGGTGTAGAGGGATGATGGTGAGGGTAATCGCCCCATGGGGTACCATACACATGTGTGTGTCTTGGGGGTAGGTGGTAGAGGGATGATGGGGAGGGTAATCGCCCCATGGGGTACCATACACACGTGTCTTGGCAGGTATAGAGGGATGATGGTGAGGGTAATCGCCCCATAGGGTACCATACACATGTGTCTTGGGAGGTGTAGAGGGATGATGGGGAGGGTAATCGCCCCATGGGGTACCATACACGTGTCTAGGGAGGTGTAGAGGGATGATGGGGAGGGTAATCGCCCCATGGGGTACCATACACGTGTCTAGGGAGGTGTAGAGGGATGATGGGGAAGGTAATCGCCCCATGGGGTACCATACACGTGTCTAGGGAGGTGTAGAGGATGATGGGGGAGGGTAATCGCCCCATGGGGTACGATACACGTGTCTAGGGAGGTGTAGAGGGATGATGGGGAGGGTAATCGCCCCATGGGGTACCATACACATGTGTCTTGGGAGGTGTAGAGGGATGATGGGGAGGGTAATCGCCCCATGGGGTACCATACACATGTCTAGGGAGGTGTAGAGGGATGATGGGGAGGGTAATCGCCCCATGGGGTACCATACACGTGTCTAGGGAGGTGTAGAGGGATGATGGGGAAGGTAATCGCCCCATGGGGTACCATACACGTGTCTAGGGAGGTGTAGAGGGATGATGGTGAGGGTAATCGCCCCATGGGGTACCATACACGTGTCTAGAGAGGTGTAGAGGGATGATGGGGAGGGGTAATCGCCCCATGAGGTACCATACATGATGTCTAGTGAGGGTGTAAGAGGGATGATGGGGAAGGTAATCGCCCCATGGGGTACCATACACGTGTCTAGGGAGGTGTAGAGGGATGATGGGGAGGGTAAATGCCCCATGGGGTACCATACACGTGTCTAGGGAGGTGTAGAGGGATGATGGTGAGGGTAATTGCCCCATGGGGTACCATACACGTGTCTAGGGAGGTGTAGAGGGATGATGGGGAGGGTAATCGCCCCATGGGGTACCATACACGTGTCTAGGGAGGTGTAGAGGGATGATGGGGAGGGTAATCGCCCCATGGGGTACCATACACGTGTCTAGGGAGGTGTAGAGGGATGATGGGGAGGGTAATCGCCCCATGGGGTACCATACACGTGTCTAGGGAGGTGTAGAGGGATGATGGGGAGGGTAATCGCCCCATGGGGTACCATACACGTGTCTAGGGAGGTGTAGAGGGATGATGGGGAGGGTAATCGCCCCATGGGGTACCATACACGTGTCTAGGGAGGTGTAGAGGGATGATGGTGAGGGTAATCGCCCCATGGGGTACCATACACGTGTCTAGAGAGGTGTAGAGGGATGATGGGGAGGGTAATCGCCCCATGGGGTACCATACATGTGTCTAGTGAGGTGTAGAGGGGTGATGGGGAGGGTTCCCCATATCCAACGGTCTCTGTCATGACAACAGGGAGTAACAAGGTGCGGCAATGAGTTGTAAAGGGTCTGATTTGCTGCCATTTTCTCCGTGCGCTGTGATTGGTGCACTGCAGCCATCTGAAGATCTCCGGTGTCGCAGAGGTGGAACATCCAGCTAAGTCTCATCAATTTATAAAGCGTTGTCACTCCCAGAGATGAGACCGCACTGGGGCAATAGACTGGCCATGAATTACCCTCCCCACCGATAGTACCATCTTCTCCCACATCTACAGCCTGGACTCACCTCCCTGTCTGGGACCCGGTCTGTGGCTCCATCCGGCTCACATTCATTGGCCTGCTGCTGCTTCTTCTTTAGGGCCCGGTACTCCCTGTACAGGTCTGAAGGAGAGAGATGAGAGGTCAGGTCAGGGTGGAGACACATGGAGGATGAGAACATTGAATGACAGGTCAGGGTGGAGACACATGGGAGAGAACATTGAATGACAGATCAGGGTGGAGAACATTGAATGACAGGTCAGGGTGGAGACACATGGAGGATGAGAACATTGAATGACAGGTCAGGGTGGAGACACATGAGGATGAGAACATGAATGACAGGTCAGGGTGGAGAACACATGGAGGATGAGAACATGAATGACAGGTCAGGGTGGAGACACATGGAGGATGAGAACATTGAATGACAGGTCAGGGTGGAGACACATGGAGGATGAGAACATTGAATGACAGGTCAGGGTGGAGACACATGGGTCAGGATGAGAACATGGAGGATGAAACATTGAATGACAGGTCAGGGTGGAGACACATGGAGGATGAGAACATTGAATGACAGGTCAGGGTGGAGACACATGGAGGATGAGAACATTGAATGACAGGTCAGGGTGGAGACACATGGAGGATGAGAACATTGAATGACAGGTCAGGGTGGAGACACATGGAGGATGAGAACATGGAGGATGATTGAATGACAGGTCAGGGTGGAGACACATGGAGGATGAGAACATTGAATGACAGGTCAGGGTGTGTAGACACATGGAGGATGAGAACATTGAATGACAGGTCAGGGTGGAGACACATGGAGGGCAGACAGTTGTAGGACAGGTCAGGGTGGAGACACATGGAGGATGAGAACATTGAATGACAGGTCAGGGTGGAGACACATGGAGGATGAGAACATTGAATGACAGGTCAGGGTGTAGACACATGGAGGATGAGAACATTGAATGACAGGTCAGGGTGGAGACACATGGAGGATGAGAACATTGAATGACAGGTCAGGGTGGAGACACATGGAGGATGAGAACATTGAATGACAGGTCAAGGTGTAGACACATGGAGGATGAGAACATTGAATGACAGGTCAGGGTGGAGACACATGGAGGATGAGAACATTGAATGACAGGTCAGGGTGGAGACACATGGAGGATGAGAACATTGAATGACAGGTCAGGGTGGAGACACATGAGGATGAGAACATTGAATGACAGGTCACATGGGTGGAGACACATGGAGGGCAGACAGTTGTAGGACAGGTCAGGGTGGAGACACACGGAGGGCAGACAGTTGTAGGACAGGTCAGGGTGGAGACACACGGAGGGCAGACAGTTGTAGACAGGTCAGGGTGGAGACACACGGAGGGCAGACAGTTGTAGGACAGGTCAGGGTGGAGACACACGGAGGGCAGACAGTTGTATGACAGGTCAGGGTGGAGACACACGGAGGGCAGACAGTTGTAGGACAGGTCAGGGTGGAGACACACGGAGGGCAGACAGTTGTATGACAGGTCAGGGTGGAGACACACGGAGGGCAGACAGTTGTATGACAGGTCAGGGTGGAGACACACGGAGGGCAGACAGTTGTAGGACAGGTCAGGGTGGAGACACACGGAGGGCAGACAGTTGTATGACAGGTCAGGGTGGAGACACACGGAGGGCAGACAGTTGTATGACAGGTCAGGGTGGAGACACACGGAGGGCAGACAGTTGTATGACAAGGTCAGGGTGGAGACACACGCTTACTCCGCGTTTCCTCCGGGGCGTTCTCGATGTCCGTCTGTACAAGAGATGGGAAGGATCACAGTCAGAGAATGTTCTACAGCCAACGGTCTACTGGCATCACGTGTACCCCCCCAACAACCAGCCCACGTGTACCCCTCAACAACCAGCCCACGTGTACCCCCAACAACCAGCCCACGTGTACCCCTCAACAACCAGCCCACGTGTACCCCCCAACAACCAGCCCACGTGTACCCCTCAACAACCAGCCCACGTGTACCCCTCAACAACCAGCCCACGTGTACCCCCAACAACCAGCCCACGTGTACCCCTCAACAACCAGCCCACGTGTACCCCCCAACAACCAGGGCCCACGTGTACCCCCCAACAACCCAGCCCACGTGTACCCACGTGTACCCCAAAACAACCAGCCCACGTGTACCCCCAAACAACCAGCCCACGTGTACCCCCAAACAAATACCAGCCCACGTGTACCCCCAAACAACCAGCCCACGTGTACCCCCAAACAACCAGCCCAAAGTGTACCCCCAACAACCAGCCCACGTGTACCCCCCAACAACCAGCACACGTGTACCCCCCAAACAAAACCAGCCCAAGTGTACCCCCCAACAACCAGCCCACGTGTACCCCCCAACAACCAGCACACGTGTACCCCCCAACAACCAGCACACGTGTACCCAACAACCAGCACACGTGTACCCAACAACCAGCACACGTGTACCCAACAACCAGCCCACGTGTACACCTCAACAACCAGCCCACGTGTACACCTCAACAACCAGCACACGTTGTACCCCCCAACAACCAGTCCACGTGTACCCCCCCAAAAAGCAGCACACGCGTACACCCCAACAACCAGCCGTGTACCCCTCAACCAGCACACGCATACCCCCAATAACCAGCCATGTACCCCTCAACCAGCACACGCATACCCCAGAATAACCAGCTGTGTACCCCCCAACAAGCAGCCCACGCGTACCCCCCAACAAGCAGCCACGCGTACCCCAACAACCAGCACACGCATACCCCCCAATAACCAGCCATGTACCCCTCGAGAAGCAGCACACGTGTACATTACAACAACCAGCCATGTACCCCTCAACCAGCACACCCATACCCCAGAACAAACAGCCAACGTGGACCCCTCAACAACCAGCACACGTGTACCCAATAACCAGCACATGCGTACACCCCAATAACTAGCCAATGTACCCCTCAACAACCAGCACCACCTGTACCCTCAACATCCAGTCAATTTGTACACCCCCAAGAACCAGCCAACGTGCACCCCTCAACAACCAGCACACATGTACCCCTCAACAACCAGCCAACGTGCACCCCCTCAACAACTAGCACACATGTACCCCTCAACAACCAGCCAACGTGCACCCCTCAACAACTAGCACATGAGTACACCCAAATAACTAGCCAATGTGTACCCCTCAGTTAATATGTACCCCTCAAAAACCAGCACACATATACCCCTCAACGACCAGCACACGTGTACCCCTCAACAACCAGCACCACCTGTACCCTCAACATCCAGTCAATTTGTACACCCCAAGAACCAGCCAACGTGCACCCCACACAACAACCAGCACACATGTACCCCCTCAACAACCAGCCAACGTGCACCCCACAACAACCAGCACACATGTACCCTTCAACGACCAGCCAACGTGCACCCCACAACAACCAGCACACATGCACCCCTCAACAACCAGCCAACGTGCACCCCACAACAACCAGCACACATGCACCCCTCAACAACCAGCCAACGTGCACCCCACAACAACCAGCACACATGCACCCCTCAACAACCAGCCAACGTGCACCCCACAACAACCAGCCAACGTGCACCCCACAACAACCAGCAACACCCCACATGCACCCCACATGCAACAACAACCAGCCAACGTGCACCCCACAACAACCAGCCAACGTGCACCCTTCAACGACCAGCCGTGTACACCCCCAAGAAACCAGCCAACGTGTACCCCTCCACACTTGGAGTTCCCACATGGACAGGAAGAGGGTGGCAGACGCTCCCATGAAGAGCAGGACGGGGACACGTTGGTTCAGGAAGATAGGAGGTCACTGTCCTCAGCCTCACCTTGGTAGGTCGTCTCTCATGGTCCTATTCAGGAAGTCCCCCTCCCAGCTCTTCAGAAGAAGCTTCACCTCAGCATAGCGATCCATTGCTGCCTATCACAAGAGAGGACAGTCATGGCGGAGGAACCACGGACTCCCCCCATCACCATGACCATCATGGCGGAGGAACCACGGACTCCCCCCATCACCATGACCATCATGGCGGAGGAACCACGGATTCCCCCCATCACCATGACCATCATGGCGGAGGAACCACGGACTCCCCCCATCACCATGACCATCATGGCGGAGGAACCACGGATTCCCCCCATCACCATGACCATCATGGCGGAGGAACCACGGATTCCCCCCATCACCATGACCGTCATGGCGGAGGAACCACGGATTCCCCCCATCACCATGACCGTCATGGCGGAGGAACCACGGACTCCCCTGATCACCATGACAGTCATGGCGGAGGAACCCTGGACCTCCCCTGATCACAATGACAGTCATGGCGGAGGAACCATGGACTCTCCCCTGATCACCATGACCGTCATGGCGGAGGAACCACGGACACTCCCCTGATCACGATGACAGTCATGGCGGAGGAACCCTGGACTCCCCCCACCATCATGGGCGGAGGCGGGATCATCACGGACTCCCCTGATCATCACCATGACAGTCATGGCGGAGGAACCACGGACTCCCCTGATCACCATGACAGTCATGGCGGAGGAACCACGGACTCCCCTGATCACCCCGGATGACCGTCATGGCGGAGGAACCACGGACTCCCCTGATCACCATGACAGTCATGGCGGAGGAAACCATGGACTCCCCTGATCACCATGACAGTCATGGCGAGAGGAACCACGGACTCCCCTGATCACCATGACCGTCATGGCGGAGGAACCACGGACTCCCCTGATCACCATGGACCGTCATGGCGGAGGAACCACGGACTCCCCTGATCACCATGACCGTCATGGCGGAGGAACCACGGACTCCCCTGATCACCATGACCCGGGCTGACCCCAAAACATTTATGGAGGGTGGAGGTAGTAGGAGCGGAAGGTTTGTATGGTGGGGAGAAGATAAAGGTAGCAAAGTGGGTAGTAGGGGCGCTGGAGTGGGCAGTGGGGGGTAGTAGAGTGGGCAGTGGGGAAGGGGGGGTAGTAGAGTTATTTGTGGGGGGGCAGTAGAGTGGGTAGTAGGGGGGGGCTGGAGTGAGCATAAGGGGAGGTATAGTAGAGTGGGTAGTGGGGGGGGGTAGTAGGTAGTGGGTAGGGGAGGTAGTAAGTGGGAGGGGGAGGGTAGTAGAGTGGGTAGTGGGGGTGGGGGGTAGTAGAGTGGGTAGTGGAGGGGGAGGGGGGAGGGTAGTAGGGTAGTGGGGGGGGGAGGGTAGTAGAGTGGGTAGTGGGGGGGGAGGGTAGTAGAGTGGGTAGTGGGGGGGGAGGGTAGTAGTAGAGTGGGTAGTGGGGGGGGAGGAGGGGTAGTAGAGTGGGTAGTGGGGGGGGGAGGGTAGTAGAGTGGGTTAGTGGGGGGGGGGGGAGGGGTAGTAGAGTGGGTAGTGGGGGGGGGGAAAGGGTAGTAGAGTGGGTAGGGTTGGGGGGGGGAGGGTAGTAGAGTGGGTAGTGGGGGGGGGGAGGGTAGTAGAGTGGGTAGTGGGGGGGGGGCAGTGAGGGTAGTAGAGTGGGTTAGTGGGGGGGGGAGGGTAGTAGAGTGGGTAGTGGGGGGGGGGAGAAGGGTAGTAGAGTGGGTAGTGGGGGGGGGGGGAGGGTAGTAGAGTGGGTAGTGGGGGGGGGGGAGTAGTAGAGTGGGTAGTGGGGGGGGGGAGAAGGGTAGTAGAGTGGGTAGTGGGGGGGCCCCCCCCCCGAGGGTAGTCAGAGTGGGTAGTGGGGGGGGGGGGAGGGTAGTAGAGTGGGTAGTGGGGGGGGGGGAGGAGAGGGGTAGTAGAGTGGGTAGTGGGGGGGGAGGGTAGTAGAGTGGGTAGTGGGGGGGGGGGCGGGTAGTAGAGTGGGTAGGTGGGGGGGGGACGTTAAGAAGGGTAGGAGGGTTAGTTAGAGTGGGTAGTGGGGGGGGGAGTGGTAGTAGAGTGGGTAGTGGGGGGGGGAGGGTTGTAAGAGTGGGGTAGTGGGGGGGGGAGCCGCTGAAGGGTAGTAGAGAGGGGTAGTGGGGGGGGGGGTAGGGGGGTAGTGGGGGAGGTAGTGGGGTAGTAGAGTGGGTGCACGTGGGGGGGGGGGGGGACTAGGGTAGTAGGGAGAGAGTGGGTTAGTGGGGGGGGGGGGGGGGAGAAGGGTAGTAGAGTGGGTAGTGGGGGGGGGGAGGAGGGCTTGGGTAGAGTGTGGTAGTAGAGTGGGGTAGTGGGGGGGGGGGTTAGGGTAGTAGTAGAGTGGGTTGTAGTTGGGTGCTGGGGGGTAGTAGACGTGGTAGGGTAGTGGGGGGGGGAGTAGTAGACGTGTGGTACTATTTTGGGGGGGGAGAAGGGTAGTTAGTAGAGTAGCGGGTAGTAAGTCAGTGAAATCTGCGCGATAATAACATACACTCACCCCTCTCGGGGTAGTTCGGTGGGTAGCACAATATTCTCACCATTCCAAATTCCCGGGCGCCACCTCCACAGCCAATAGGAATCCGGGGTTGGGTTGTGGGGGGCGGGATCGGGGATAGAGTTGTGGTCTCCGGGAAGATGGCCGCTTTCTTTCGGCTCGGAATGATGACGTCTTCCCAGCTGACTGTGACTCATCTACAGGAGACCCGGAACTGACAGCAAAACACCGAACTGAAGAACCGGAGTCCCCCCGGATACCGGGATTACCCCCCCCTCCCCAGTCCCCCGGATACCGGGGATTACCCCTCCCCTCCCCCCTCCTGACCTCCATATATCACTCCGATCTATACCTCGCCCTCTACACCCGACAGGCCTGATCTGCAACTCCTCATAGATCCACCCGTGCCGCCTCCATCACATCGCATTCATCTCCTCATGAATCTCATCCTCTCCTCACTCTGTATGGATCTCCTCCCTCTCTCATAGATCTCCTCATCCTTCATCTTCTCCCCCAGGTCCTCTCATAGATCTATTCTCCTCAGGTTTCCTCCAACTTCGGCGATCTCTCCTCCTCTGGCTCTTCTCCCCCTTCTCATTCATCATATGTCTACTCTCCTTACTCCTCCATCTTGTCCTCCCCTCCTCCCTTTTCTTCCCTCTTCCCCCCCCCCCACCCCGTCCTCTTCTTCCCCCCCCCCGTCCTCTTCCCCCCCCCCCGTCCTCTTCCCCCCCTCCGTCCTTCTTTCCCCCCCCTCCGTCCTCTTTCCCCCCACCTCCGTCCTCTTTCCCCCCCCTCATTCCGTCCTTCTTTCCCCCCCCTCCGTCCTCTTTCCCCCCCCTCCGTCCTTCTTTCCCCCCCCCCTTTCCGTTCTTTCCTTTTCCCCCCCCTCCGTCCTCTTTCCCCCCCCTCCGTCCTCTTTTTCCCCCCCCTCCGTCCTCTTTCCCCCCCCCTCCGTCCTCTTTCCCCCCCCCACTCCGTCCTCTTTCCCCCCCCCCTCCGTCCTCTTTCGCCCCCCCCCCCCCCCTCCTCCTCCATCCTTCTTTATGGCCCCCCCCTCTTTCCTCCCCCCCCCCCCCCCCAGTTCATATTTGTCGTTCTCTCATGGTGATTTTGTATAATTTCCCTATTTCTGGTTACAGGTGAATTTCCCCCCCACAATGTTTCATGGAATTCCAGCACCGGCTAGGCATGGGAGGTAAGTGTGCGGCACATCCATCTTCTAGTTGTGGCTGGATAGATAGGATGGTTACCTTTTGGCTGCTGTTCTGTCATGATGTGCTGGCCTCTACCCCGGGAGAGCGTCTGCTCGGGGCGTCCCGGCCTCTTCCCCGGGAGGGCGTTGTGGGGCTGCTCGGGGCGTCCCGGCCTCTTCCCCGGGAGGGCGTGCGTCTGCTCGGGGCGTCCCGGCCTCTTCCCCGGGAGGGCGTTCTGCTCGGGGCGTCCCGTCCTCTTCCCCGGGAGGGCGTCTGCTCGGGGCGTCCCGTCCTCTTCCCCGGGAGGGGCGTCTCCTCGGGGCGTCCCCGGCCTCTTCCCCGGGAGGGCGTCTCCTCGGGGCGTCCCGTCCTCTTCCCGGGAGGGCGTCTGCTCGGGGCGTCCCGTCCTCTTCCCCGGGAGGGCGTCTGCTCGGGGCGTCCCGTCCTCTTCCCCGGGAGGGCGTCTGCTCGGGGTCCCGTCTTCCCGTCCTCGTCGGGGCTCGTCTTTCCCCGGGAGGGCGTCTGCTCGGGGCGTCCCGTCCTCTTCCCCGGGAGGGCGTCTGCTCGGGGCGTCCCGTCCTCTTCCCCGGGAGGGCGTCTGCTCGGGGCGTCCGTCCTCTTCCCCGGAGGGGGCGTCTGCTCGGGGCGTCCCGTCCTCTTCCCCGGGAGGGCGTCCTCTATGTCGGGGCGTCCGTCCATCTTTCCCCGGGAGGGCGTCTGCTCGGGGCGTCCCGGCCTCTTTCCCCGGGGGTGGGGGGTCTCCCCGGGGGCCTCTTCTCTGGTTTGCTGGGATGATGATCAGGGCGTCTCACTTTGTTTTCTTGTTTTTCAGCTCCCGGAAATAAACCCGAATTGTATGAGGTGAGGCACATCGGGGTTTCTGCTTCACAAGGGGGGGAGGGGTCGGCCATATGGACTTTTCAGCGCATTTATATTTGTTCCCTCTGTGGGGACGCCGGGTTCCCTGTGTGGGGACGCCGGGTTGAGGGGTTCCCTGTGTGGGGGACGCCGGGTGAGGGGTTCCCTGTGTGGGGACGCCGGGTTTCCCTGTGTGGGGACGCCGGGTTCCCTGTGTGGGGACGCCGGGTTCCCTGTGTGGGGACGCCGGGTTCCCTGTGTGGGGACGCCGGGTTCCCTGTGTGGGGACGCCGGGTGAGGGGTTCCCTGTGTGGGGACGCCGGGTTCCCTGTGTGGGGACGCCGGGGTTCCCTGTGTGGGGACGCTGGGTGAGGGGTTCCCTGTGTGGGGACGCCGGGTTCCCTGTGTGGGGGGACGCCGGGTTCCCTGTGTGGGGACGCCGGGTTCCCTGTGTGGGGACGCTGGGGTGTGAGGGGTTCCCTGTGTGGGGGACGCCGGGTTCCCTGTGTGGGGACGCCGGGTTCCCTGTGTGGGGACGCCGGGTTCCCTGTGTGGGGACGCTGGGTGAGGGGTTCCCTCTGTGGGGGACGCCGGGTTCCCTGTGTGGGGACGCTGGGTGAGGGGTTCCCTGTGTGGGGATGCCGGGTTCCCTGTGTGGGGACGCCGGGTTCCCTGTGTGGGGACGCTGGGTGAGGGGTTCCCTGTGTGGGGACGCCGGGTTCCCTGTGTGGGGGACGCGGGGTTCCCTGTGTGGGGACGCGGGGTTCCCTGTGTGGGGACGCGGGGTTCCCTGTGTGGGGACGCGGGGTTCCCTGTGTGGGGACGCGGGGTTCCCTGTGTGGGGACGCGGGGTTCCCTGTGTGGGGACGCGGGGTTCCCTGTGTGGGGACGCGGGGTTTCCCTGTGTGGGGACGCGGGGGTTCCCTGTGTGGGGACGCCGGGTTCCCTGTGTGGGGACGCCGGGTGAGGGGTTCCCTGTGTGGGGACGCGGGTGAGGGGTTCCCTGTGTGGGGACGCCCCCCGCGGGTTCCCTGTGTGGGGACGCCGGGGTTCCCTGTGTGGGGACGCCGGGTTCCCTGTGTGGGGACGCCGGGTGAGGGGTTCCCTGTGTGGGGACGGCCGGGGTGTGGGGGGCCGGGTTCCCTGTGTGGGGACGCTCGGTGACGGGTTTCTCTTTGTCCTGTTGCAGGAGGTGAAGTTGTACAAGAATGCCCGGGAGAGGGTTCCCTGTGTACGGGGACTCTTCATCGGGGTCCCCCTCGGTCTGGTGATGTATGCTCGGTATGTGACGGGACTCCTCTGTGTTCCTCCTGCAGGTATGACAATATGGCCGAACTCTTTGCCTGTGGTGACGACTCTGCAGGCTCTAGAGAAGGCGTACATCAAGGACTGTGTGTCCCCCAGCGAGTGAGTCCCCTTGTACCACCCCACAACCTGGCCTGAGGGGGGGAAGGAACATGGCGCACACAAGAGGGGGGGGGGGGGGGGACGCACACGGGAAGGGTGCGCACACTGAAGTGGGGGGGGGGGAGCGCACACAGGGGAGGAGGGCACACCTGTGTGGGGACGGGGCTCACACCTGGTAGGGCGGGTTCCCATGGGGGGGACGCCGGGCTTCCACAGTGTGAGGGGCGTTCACAGGGATCGCGCCGCGGGTTGTCCCTGTCCCCGCACAGACCAGGATCTAACCACCCCCTTACCCCCCCCGATCCTTCCCTGTCTACGACTCCTTTCCTTCTGCCCATGACCCTCTGTCCCTACGCCGACCCCCCGCTCTCCCCAGTGCTGACCCTCGTTTCCCTTGTGGGGACCCTACCGACCCCCTCGGTCTCCTCCCCAGTGCTGACCCTCGTCTTCCCTACACCGACCCCCTCGCTCTCCCCCAGTGCTGACCCTCTCCGTCTTCCCTACACCGACCCCCTCCTCTCCCCCAGTGGGACTGACCCTCGTCTTCCCTACACCGACCCCCTCGCTCTCCCCAGTGCTGACCCTCGGGACTTCCCTACACCGACCCCCTCGCTCTCCCCAGTGCTGACCCTCGTCTTCCCTACACCGACCCCCTCGCTCTCCCCAGTGCTGACCCTCGTCTTCCCTACACACCGACCCCCTCGCTCTCCCCAGTGCTGGCCCTCGTCTTCCCTACACCGACCCCCTCGCTCTCCCCAGTGCTGACCCTCGTCTTCCCTACACCGACCCCCTCGCTCTCCCCCAGTGGCTGGCCCTCGTATTCCCTACACACCGACCCCCTCGCTCTCCCTCCCCAGTGCTGACCCTCGTCTTACTCCCCCCACAACCGACCCCCTCGCTCTCCCCAGTGCTGGCCCTCGTCTTCCCTACACCGACCCCCTCGCTCTCCCCAGTGCTGACCCTCGTCTTTCCCTACACCGACCCCCTCGCTCTCCCCCAGTGCTGACCCTCGTCTTCCCTACACCGACCCCCTCGCTCTCCTCCACCGACCCCCTCGCTCCCCAGTCCCCTCGTGCTGACCCTCGTCTTCCCCACAACGACCCCCCCCACCGGGACTCTCCCCCCAGTGCTGACCCTCGTCTTCCCTACACCGACCCCCTCGCTCTCCCAGTGCTGACCCTCGTCTTCCCCTACACCGACCCCCTCGCTCTCTCCCCCCCAGTGCTGACCCTCGTCTTCCCTACACCGACCCCCTCGCTCTCCCCAGTGCTGACCCTCGTCTTCCCTACACCGACCCCCTCGCTCTCTCCCCCAGTGCTGACCCTCGTCTTCCCTACACCGACCCCCTCGCTCTCCCCAGTGCTGACCCTCGTCTTCCCTACACCGACCCCCTCGCTCTCCCCAGTGCTGACCCTCGTCTTCCCTACACCGACCCCCTCGCTCTCCCCAGTGCTGACCCTCGTCTTCCCTACACCGACCCCCTCGCTCTCCCCCCTCGTCTCGCTCTCCCCAGTGCTGACCCTCGTCTTCCCTACACCGACCCCCTCGCTCTCCCCAGTGCTGACCCTCGTCTTCCCTACACCGACCCCCTCGCTCTCCCCAGTGCTGACCCTCGTCTTCCCTACACCGACCCCCTCGCTCTCCCCAGTGCTGACCCTCGTCTTCCCTACACCGACCCCCTCGCTCTCCCCAGTGCTGACCCTCGTCTTCCCTACACCGACCCCCTCGCTCTCCCCCCAGTGCTGACCTCGTCTTCCCTACACCGACCCCCTCGCTCTCCCCCCAGTGCTGACCCTCGTCTTCCCTACACCGACCCCCTCGCTCTCCCCAGTGCTGGCCCTCGTCTTCCCTACACCGACCCCCTCGCTCTCCCCCAGTGCTGACCCTCGTCTTCCCTACACCGACCCCCTCGCTCTCCCCCAGTGCTGACCCTCGTCTTCCCTACACCGACCCCCTCGCTCTCCCCAGTGCTGACCCTCGTCTTCCCTACACCGACCCCCTCGCTCTCCCCAGTGTGCTGACCTCGTCTTCCCTACACCGACCCCTCTCGCTCTCCCCAGTGCTGACCCTCGTCTTCCCTACACCGACCCCCTCGCTCTCCCCAGTGCTGACCCTCGTCTTCCCTACACCGACCCCCTCGCTCTCCCCAGTGCTGACCCTCGTCTTCCCTACACCGACCCCCTCGCTCTCCCCAGTGCTGACCCTCGTCTTCCCTACACCGACCCCCTCGCTCTCCCCAGTGCTGACCCTCGTCTTCCCTACACCGACCCCCTCGCTCTCCCCAGTGCTGACCCTCGTCTTCCCTACACCGACCCCCTCGCTCTCCCCAGTGCTGACCCTCGTCTTCCCTACACCGACCCCCGCTCTCCCCCAGTGCTGACCCTCGTCTTCCCTACACCGACCCCCTCGCTCTCCCCAGTGCTGACCCTCGTCTTCCCCCTACACCGACCCCCTCACCGCCCCCTCGCTCTCCCCAGTGCTGACCCTCGTCTTCCCTACACCGACCCCCTCGCTCTCCCGTGCTGACCCTCGTCTTCCCTACACCGACCCCCTCGCTCTCCCCAGTGCTGACCCTCGTCTTCCCTCTTCCCCCACACCCCAGTGTCCCTCCTCCCCCTCACTCTCCCCAGTGCTGACCCTCGTCTTCCCCCACACTGGCCCCTCCTCGATCATAGATCTGATATGAAGTCAGTTATATGTGTGAATCTGTTTGCTTCCAGGTACACGGCTGCATGCTCCCGCCTCCTGGTTCAGTACAAAGCAGCCTTCAAACAGGTCCAGGGGGCGGAAGTTGGATCCATAGATGACTTCTGCCGGAAATATCGGGTGAGTCTATCGTGCTGGAACTACTCTGCGCCCTCTGATCGCTCCCCCTCCGTGCTCTGCTCCCTGCGCCCTCTGATCGCTCCCCCTCTGCGCCCTGCGCCCTCTGATCGCTCCCCCTCTGCGCTCTGCGCCCTGCGCCCTCTGATCGCTCCCCCCTCTGCGCCCTGCGCCCTCTGATCGCTCCCCCTCCGTGCTCTGCTCCCTGCGCCCTCTGATCGCTCCCCCTCTGCGCCCTGCGCCCTCTGATCGCTCCCCCTCTGCGCTCTGCGCCCTGCGCCCTCTGATCGCTCCCCCTCTGCGCCCTCTGATTGCTCCCCCTCTGCGCCCTGCGCCCTCTGATCGCTCCCCCTCTGCGCTCTGCGCCCTCTGATCGCTCCCCCTCTGCGCCCTCTGATCGCTCCCCCCTCTGCGCCCTCTGATCGCTCCCCCTCTGCGCTCTGCGCCCTCTGATCGCTCCCCCTCTGCGCCCTCTGATCGCTCCCCCCTCTGCGCTCTGCGCCCTCTGATCGCTCCCCCTCTGCGCCCTCTGATCGCTCCCCCTCTGCGCCCCCTCTGATCGCTCCCCCCTCTGCGCCCCCTGATCGCTCCCCCTCTGCGCCCCCTGATCGCTCCCCCTCTGCGCCCCCTGATCGCTCCCCCTCTGCGCCCCCTGATCGCTCCCCCTCTGCGCCCCCTGATCGCTCCCCCTCTGCGCCCCCTGATCGCTCCCCCTCTGCGCCCCCTGATCGCTCCCCCTCTGCGCCCCCTGATCGCTCCCCCTCTGCGCCCCCTGATCGCTCCCCCTCTGCGCCCCGCCCCCTGATCGCTCCCCCTCTGCGCTTTCTGATCGCTCCCCCTCTGCGCCCTCTGATAGCTCCCCCTCTGCGCTCTGCGCCCTCTGATAGCTCCCCTCTGCGCTCTGCGCCCTCTGATAGCTCCCCCTCTGCGCTCTGCGCCCTCTGATAGCTCCCCCTCTGCGCTCTGCGCCCTCTGATCGCTCCCCCTCTGCGCCCTCTGATCGCTCCCCCTCTGCGCCCTGCGCCCCCTGATCGCTCCCCCTCTGCGCCCTGCGCCCCCTGATCGCTCCCCCTCTGCGCCCCGCCCCCTGATCGCTCCCCCTCTGCGCCCCGCCCCCTGATCGCTCCCCCTCTGCGCCCCGCCCCCTGATCGCTCCCCCTCTGCGCCCCGCCCCCTGATCACTCTGCCTCTGCACCCTTACTATACCTTTCGATCACTTTCATCTCCCCAGCCCTTTGTACCTGGGAGCCATCATGTAACGTCTGTAAGTTTTCTCCTCACAGCTGGACTGTCCTCTGGCTATGGAGCGCATTAAGGAAGATCGTCCAATCACAATCAAGGATGATAAGGGAAATCTGAACCGCTGTATAGCAGACATTGTCTCGGTGGGTGACCACTGCTAACTGCCATTTGTGCCTCCCCAGTCAGGATTTACAGCACAGGAACATCGGGATATAAATATGGGGGAAGGGGGGCAGATGTATTGGGAAGGGGGACAGATGTATTGGCTAGGGGAGGGGTAGATGTATTGGGAAGGGGAGGGGTAGATGTATTGGGAAGGGGAGGGGTAGATGTATTATTGGGAAGGGGAGGGGTAGATGTATTGGGAAGGGGAGGGGTAGATGTATTGGGAAGGGGAGGGGTAGATGTATTGGGAAGGGGAGGGGTAGATGTATTGGGGAGGGGAGGGGTAGATGTATTGGGAAGGGGAGGGGGGTAGATGTATTGGGGGGAGGGGAGGGGTAGATGTATTGGGAAGGGGAGGGGTAGATGTATTGGGGAGGGGAGGGGTAGATGTATTGGGAAGCGGAGGGGTAGATGTATTGGGAAGGGAGGGGTAGATGTATTGGGAAAGGGAGGGGTAGATGTATTGGGAAGGGGAGGGGTAGATGTATTGGGAAGGGGAGGGGTAGATGTATTGGGAAGGGGAGGGGTAGATGTATTGGGGAGGGGAGGGGTAGATGTATTGGGAAGGGGAGGGGTAGATGTATTGGGGGAGGGGGAGGGGTAGATGTATTGGGAAGGGGGGGGTAGATGTATTGGGGAGGGGAGGGGTAGATGTATTGGGAAGGGGAGGGGTAGATGTATTTGGGGGAGGGGGAGGGGTAGATGTATTGGGAAGTGGAGGGGTAGATGTATTGGGAAGTGGAGGGGTAGATGTATTGGGAAGTGGAGGGGTAGATGTATTGGGAAGGGAGGGGTAGATGTATTGGGAATTGGAGGGGTAGATGTATTGGGAAGGGGGGCAGGTATTGGCTAGGGGAGGGGTAGATGTATTGGGAAGGGGAGGGGTAGATGTATTGGGAAGCGGAGGGGTAGATGTATTGGGAAGCGGAGGGGTAGATGTATTGGCTAGCAGAGGGGTAGATGTATTGGGAAGCGGAGGGGTAGATGTATTGGGCAAGGGGGGGGTAGATGTATTGGGGAGGGGAGGGGTAGATGTATTGGGAAGCGGAGGGGTAGATGTATTGGGAAAGGGAGGGGTAGATGTATTGGGAAAGGGAGGGGTAGATGTATTGGGAAGGGGAGGGGTAGATGTATTGGGAAGGGGAGGGGTAGATGTATTGGGAAGGGGAGGGGTAGATGTATTGGGAAGGGGAGGGGTAGATGTATTGGGAAGGGGAGGGGTAGATGTATTGGGAAGGGGAGGGGTAGATGTATTGGGAAGGGGGAGGGGTAGATGTATTGGGAAGGGGAGGGGTAGATGTATTGGGAAGCGGAGGGGTAGATGTATTGGGAAGCGGAGGGGTAGATGTATTGGGAAGCGGAGGGGTAGATGTATTGGGAAGGGAGGGGTAGATGTATTGGGAAGGGGAGGGGTAGATGTATTGGGAAAGGGAGGGGTAGATGTATTGGGAAGGGTAGATGTATTGGCTAGGGGAGGGGTAGATGTATTGGGAAAGGGGGTTGATGTATTGTCTAGGGAAGGGCAGATGTATTGTGAAGGGGTAGATGTATTAAATAGGGTAGGGGTAGATGTATTTGGGGAGGGTAGATATATTGGGAATTGTGAAGGGGGTAGATGTATTGGCTAGGGGAGGGGTAGATGTATTAAGAAGGAGGGACAGATATATTTGGGGGCAGAAGTATTGGAAAGGCAGATGTATTGGGGAAGGGGGGCAGGTGTATAGGGTCAGGGGGGTAGATGTATTGGCTAGGGGAGGGCAGATGTATTGAGAAGGGGGGCAGACATGTATTGGCTAGGGGAAGGCAGATATATTGGGGGGTAGATGTATAGGGAAGGAGGGCAATTGTATTGGCTAGGGGGGAGCAGATGTATTGGGAAGGGTTGCAGATGTATTGGCTAGGGGATGGCAGATGTATTAAGAAGGGGGGACAGATATATTTGGGGGTAGATGTATTGGGAATGGGGGGCAGATGTATTGGGAAGGGGGGTAGATGTATTGGGAATGGGGGGCAGATGTATTGGCTAGGTGAGGGCAGATGTATTGGAAAGGGGAAGGGTAGATGCATTTGGGGCAGATGTATTGACTAGGGAGGGCAGAGGTATTGGGAAGGGGAAGGGTAGATGCATTTGGGGCTGATGTATTGGGAAGGGAAGTGTCAGATGTATTGGGAAGGGAAGGGTCAGATGTATTGGTAAGGGGGGCAGGTGTAATGGTAAGGGGGGCAGATGTATTGGGAAGGCGGTTAGCAGGGAGGGTAGAGGAACTGTCACATTGCTCTCCATGTGCTGAACACATTTGTATCTTCCAGCTCTTCATTACTGTGATGGACAAGCTGCGGTTAGAGATCCGAGCCATGGACGAGGTAGGATTGGCCCACCAGGCAGAACCGTTTCGTAGATTTTATTTATGTCGATGATCATATCCATCCAAACAACTTGTGTTCTCCAAAGTCAAACTATTTCCTCTGATGTAAATGTCTTGTTAGAAATTGTATTCTTGAGGGCCTCCAACAATGGATGGGTGACCCTTGATCTTTATTGATCTCACCCATCACAGGGCTCTCTAGGGGAGATCTTTAAAAACCCCAATACACAGCCTTTTGATGGGTGATAGTAGTACAGACCTCCTTTGGACAACTTTGTGATGGCACTGAGGACCTTCAGTTAGACAATATCGGGGGGCCTAGAATGGAGGAGGTATCACTGAGGACCTTCAGTTAGACAGTATCCGGGGGGCCTGGAGTGGAGGAGGTATCACTGAGGACCTTCAGCTAGACAATATCCGGGGGGGCCTGGAGTGGAGGAGGTATCACTGAGGACCTTCAGTTAGACAATATCCGGGGGGCCTGGAGTGGAGGAGGTATCACTGAGGACCTTCAGCTAGACAATATCGGGGGGCCTGGAGTGGAGGAGGTATCACTGAGGACCTTCAGTTAGACAATATCCGGGGGGCCTGGAGTGGAGGAGGTATCACTGAGGACCTTCAGTTAGACAATATCCGGGGGGCCTGGAGTAGAGGAGGTATCACTGAGGACCTTCAGTTAGACAATATCCGGGGGGGGCCTGGAGTAGAGGAGGTATCACTGAGGACCTTCAGTTAGACAATATCCAGGGGGCCTGGAGTGGAGGAGGTATCACTGAGGACCTTCAGTTAGACAGTATCCGGGGGCCTGGAGTGGAGGAGGTATCACTGAGGACCTTCAGCTAGACAATATCCGGGGGGCCTGGAGTGGAGGAGGTATCACTGAGGACCTTCAGTTAGACAATATCCGGGGGGCCTGGAGTGGAGGAGGTATCACTGAGGACCTTCAGCTAGACAATATCAGGGGGCCTGGAGTGGAGGAGGTATCACTGAAGACCTTCAGTTAGACAATATCCGGGGGCCTGGAGTGGAGGAGGTATCACTGAGGACCTTCAGTTAGACAATATCCGGGGGGCCTGGAGTAGAGGAGGTATCACTGAGGACCTTCAGTTAGACAGTATCCGGGGGCCTGGAGTGGAGGAGGTATCACTGAGGACCTTCAGCTAGACAATATCGGGGGGCCTGGAGTGGAGGAGGTATCACTGAGGACCTTCAGTTAGACAGTATCCGGGGGCCTGGAGTGGAGGAGGTATCACTGAGGACCTTCAGCTAGACAGTATCCGGGGGCCTGGAGTGGAGGAGGTATCACTGAGGACCTTCAGCTAGACAGTATCCGGGGGCCTGGAATGGAGGAGATATCACTGAGGACCTCCACTGGATGGCCTTGTGGTGGTAGATGGACACTGAGGATTTCCATGTATATTTGATATCTCTGGAGGGGAGGAGATATCTCTGGAGGGGAGGAGATATCTCTGGAGTGGACAGCATTTATATAACGGACAATGTGAAATTATTGGTGACTCCGCAGTTCTCATATTTCATAGAGATGTGAGGTCACAATGACCTGATATGTCTGTTTTGTCTTCTGTCAGATCCAGCCAGACCTACGGGAACTGATGGAGACGATGAATCGCATGAGCCACCTTCCTCCAGACTTCGAGGGTAGAGAAAAAGTCAGCCAATGGTGAGAGAGTTTGATGTCCCTGGTTACCCCCCCGCCCAGCCTCTTCTATCCCAATCTTCTCTGATCCCTGTCCTCATCCCTGGTCTTCCTTTTACCCCCCCCCCCACTCAGCCTCTTCTATCCCTGTCCTCATCCCTGGTCCTTCTTTGCTCCTCCCCAATCTCTTCCTGGGCTCCTATTCCAAGTCTTCATTTATATTTTATGTTCCTTTCTTGAATAGTCATCGTTCCGGTCTACCCCCCCCCCCCCAGCCCAGCCTCTTCTATCCCTGTCCTCATCCCTGGTCTTCCTTTTACCCCCCCCCCCCCCCCCCACTCAGCCTCTTCTATCCCTGTCCTCATCCCTGGTCCTTCTTTGCTCCTCCCCAATCTCTTCCTGGGCTCCTATTCCAAGTCTTCATTTATATTTTATGCTCCTTTCTTGAATAGTCATTGTTCCGGTCTACCCCCCCCGCCCAGCTTCTTCTATCCCAGTCTTCTCTGATCCCTGTCCTCATCCCTGGTCTTCCTTCATTTCCGGTACAAATTAATTGTTCTCATTTCTTACCTGAACCCGCTATCTTGTGCTGGTGTGACTGTACTGCCTGTCTGGAGCCCCGCCCTTTGGAGATGTCGTCATCTATTCTTTCTGGGATACACAGAATATAACTGGATATAACATTTAAGTAGGGAAAGTTGATCCCGGGAATATCTGATTGCCTCTCGGGGGATCAGGAAGGAATTTTTTCCCCTGCAGGAGGAGATTGGATCATGCTTTGCTGGGTTTTTTTGGCCTTCCTCTGGATCCACTGTGGGTGGAGGATTATAACTTTGTTTTTTTAATGGTTGAACTGGATGGACTTTTGTCTTTTTTTTTCAGCCAGACTAACAATGTAACTATCACATGATCCCCCGTCCTACACCTATCACAGGTGTCACCTCGATGGTGGCTCTCTCTGACTCCTCCTCTTTCCTCCTCAGGTTACAGAAGCTCAGCAGTATGTCGGCATCAGATGAACTCGATGACTCTCAAGTCCGTCAGATGTTGTTTGACCTGGAATCCGCGTACAACGCCTTCAACCGATTCCTTCATTCCTAACATCTACCAGAGCCGAGGGGTTCCTCCGTCCGAGGGGTTCCTCCGTCCGAGGGGTTCCTCCGTCCGAGGGGTCCTGAGCACGGTTCATGTCACCATTGTTACTCCATTAGTGAGAGATCCTCCTCCTCCCGGAATACTTTAGTATTGTCTCTGTGATCGCCCCGCCCTGGTCTGTATAGTTGTCAATAAATGTGTTCTTTGTATATTATACATACAAACTGTCTGGTCAATTTATTAATGGGGGGTGGGTGGCAGGCCTTCCATGGGGAGTATGTGGAGTCGGGGATCAGATGACACCATAGAAGGTTCCCTAGGCGGGTGACATTCAACTCTCCAGGTATGGCCGGTATTCTGGAGACGTGAGGAATGGACCAGAACCGTGCAGGATGAGATTTCAATATAATCAATGTAGAAGAGATCGGAGGTTGGGAATATGAAGAGACGGATTGGGGGAGAAGACTATTCCTCCCACTGACACCAATGATGGGCCGCTGTTCCTTCCACTGACGCCAATGATGGGGCACTATTCCACTGACACCAATGATGGGCCGATATTCCTTCCACTGTTACCAATGATGGGGCACTATTCCTTCCACTGACGCCAATGATGAGCCGCTATTCCTTCCACTGATGCCAATGATGGGGGCACTATTCCTCCACTGACACCAATGATGGGCACTATTCCTCCCACTGACACCAATGATGGGGCACTATTCCTCCCACTGACACCAATGATGGGCACTATTCCTTCCACTGACACCAATGATGGGTACTATTCCTCCCACTGATACCAATGATGGGCCGTTATTCCTTCCACTGACACCAATGATGAGCCGCTATTCCTTCCACTGACGCCAATGATGAGCCGCTATTCCTTCCACTGATGCCAATGATGGGGCACTATTCCTCCCACTGACACCAATGATGGGGTACTATTCCTCCCACTGACACCAATGATGGGGCACTATTCCTCCCACTGACACCAATGATGGGGCACTATTCCTCCCACTGACACCAATGATGGGGCACTATTCCTCCCACTGACACCAATGATGGGGCACTATTCCTCCCACTGACACCAATGATGGGGCACTATTCCTCCCACTGACACCAATGATGGGGCACTATTCCTCCCACTGACACCAATGATGGGGCACTATTCCTCCCACTGACGTCAATGATGGGGCACTATTCCTCCCACTGACGTCAATGATGGGGCACTATTCCTCCCACTGACGTCAATGATGGGGCACTATTCCTCCCACTGACGTCAATGATGGGGCACTATTCCTCCCACTGACGTCAATGATGGGGCACTATTCCTCCCACTGACGTCAATGATGGGGCACTATTCCTCCCACTGACGTCAATGATGGGCACTATTCCTCCCACTGACACCAATGATGGGGCACTATTCCTCCCACACTGACACCAATGATGGGGCACTATTCCTCCCACTGACACCAATGATGGGGCACTATTCCTCCCACTGACACCAATGATGGGGCGCTATTCCTCCCACTGACACCAATGATGGGGCGCTATTCCTCCCACTGACACCAATGATGGGGCGCTATTCCTCCCACTGACACCAATGATGGGGCGCTATTCCTCCCACTGACACCATGATGGGGCGCTATTCCTCCCACTGACACCAATGATGGGGCGCTATTCCTCCCACTGACACCAATGATGGGGCGCTATTCCTCCCACTGACACCAATGATGGGGCGCTATTCCTCCCACTGACGTCGATGATGGGACGCTATTCCTCCCACTGACACCGATGATGGGGCACTATTCCTCCCACTGACACCGATGATGGGGCACTATTCCTCCCACTGACACCGATGATGGGGCACTATTCCTCCCACTGACACCGATGATGGGCCACTATTCCTCCCACTGACACCCAATGATGGGGCACTATTCCTCCCACTGACACCAATGATGGGGACACTATTCCTCCCACTGACACCATGATGGGGCGCTATTCCTCCCACTGACGTCAATGATGGGGCACTATTCCTCCCACTGACAAACCGACACCGATGATGGGCACTATTCCTCCCCCTGACACCGATGATGGGCACTCCTCCCATCGCCTATGTACGCCCATCACCTATGTACGCAGCCATTTTTCAAAAATTTTGCATCAAGGGAAAAAAAAACTCAGATAAGAGAGAGATAGCCACCCCCTGGAAAGAGACTCCTGGTAGTCAGTGAGGCTTGAAACCCCTCCATGCCTTCAACCAAGCCCCCTGACCCCACTTGTCTCTCTCAAGCACCTGAATCTTCCACACCCCATGCAAAATGTCACCACCACCACCACCTGAACAGGAAGGATTTTACACCGAGTGGTGACCTGACACCGTGCATTCTGGGTGACATAATGGGCTACTAGGCTAACTAAAAAAGTGTATCCAAACAAAAAGCCCCACCAGTGTTGAATGCTCTGAACGCCCGTTATGTACACCCCGTTATGTACACCCGCTCCGTACACCCGCTCAGCATAACCCAGCCTAGAGAGGAAAGGGACACTGAGGGCCCTCCCCACCTCTTTGTATACCTCTATGTTAAAAGGGCCACGAAGCAGAAAATGGTCCATAGTCTCTTCCTCACCTGCACACTCCTCCCGAGGACAACCACAATCCATCTCACTGCCATACTTCATATTGCCCCGAACATAGAACCTCCTATGGAAGCACAGCCAGGCCAGATGCCTAAATTTAAGGGGGACTCTATCCAAATGAGTCAGCCTTCACTCTTATGTAATAATTTCACCTGGGCAATCCCTTAAGGCCAGCGGGTCATAAAAGACTTCACTCAAGACCCGGCTCATAAGGACTTTCCTCGGAGCGGATCTGAAATCTTCAGCCGACAATCGCCACTGCCGCAGCAACTTCAGGCACAGAGAGACGTAGGCTGGAAGCTGACCACGATGACCTCTGAGATTCTTCACTTGGCCACCTTCTTCCCAAAGTCGTAGAAAAGGCCTAAACCAAGGTCTAATCATGCCTGCCCATCCAGGAGGTTCCACTGCAAGCATGTTCCCAGTGTTAAACTTGAGAAAAAGCAGTGAAAGGAAAAGAACTGGGTTGGCCATACCTAAGCCTCCCTCTCTCCTGGACAGATAGGTGATATTCCTCTTGATGAGGTTCAGTCTGTTCCCACACAGCATCTGGAAGAACATACTAGAGACCCTAGCATAGAGAGACACTGGCAAGATGCAGACAAAGCTGACATACAAGAAGATTGGAATCAGGTAAGTCTTCATCAAACCAACCCTTTCCCTCAGAGATAGTTTCCATCTCTTCCAGCTGATCACCTTAGTAATCGCAATGTCCAGCCTGCCTTCCCAATTTTTAAGGCCATAATCACCAGGTCCGAATTCAATGCCTAGTATCTTAACTTTTTCCTGGGGCGTTGGAAAGGCGTCCGGGAGATCAAACACACCTCACCTTCCTTTCCCATCCAGAAACCGTTACTCTTATCCTGATCTTTCATCCAGTGACAATCACTGATACATCATCCTCATAGGCAACAACCCTCAAAGGTGGCTCACCCGGGAGCCCCACTGGTACCCCCCACACAACATGCTGCTCTCTAGCCTCCTGATGAAAGGGTCTATTGCAAACACATAGAGCAGGGGACTCAGAGGACAACCCTGGCGCTCCCCAGAGCCAACCTCAAAGGACTGCCCAACCATTAACAAGAGGGAAGCTTTCTGCCCCCTTATACAAGACTTTCAACCAAATCGACAAAGCCACCTGGCAGACCGTACTTACTAAGGAGCAGCCACAAGTTCTCATGGTTGACACAATCCAAAGCCTTTGCCTGATCCAATGCCAGCAAATACTTTCCCCAGCCTGCACTGCTCCAGGGCCTCCTGGACAGCTAACACCGCTGTGAAGGTGCTCCTATCCTGGACCGTGCTGATGGCGAGAAAGCAAAGACTCTACTACTGATGATAAGTGCCAGAAAAGTATCTTCGCCAGCACCTTTCTATCAACATTGAGAAGGCTGATGGGGCGCCAATTCTCAATCATCCAAGGATCCTTACCTTTTAACAGAAGAATCACAGCAGAGTGCCTCATGGAAGGGGGAAGAGTCCCCTCAGCAAGGCAGCTGTTAAAAATCTCTACTAAATGTGGGGCTAGAATAGACTTGAAAGATTTGTAAAACTCAGCCGTCAAGCCATCGGGTCCAGGTGACTTTTTGATGGCTAGCTTCTCAATTGCCCTCATCACCTCAACTGTGATCTCCTCTGTCAAATTCATCAATGGAACATCTCCACCATTTAGACCTGGAGTAGAGTCCAAAAAGCCTTCCATCTTGCTTCAATCAAGCTCTTTCCTTCCAAGAAGTTCAACATAAAAGGGCCTCACGTCTTCCAGGATCCCTGACCTGGACTTTGTCAAGGAACCTGTACTATCCTTAAGGCCAACGACCGTCTTAACTGCAACACCTAGTTTTCAGTTCTGGTAAGGGTCCAGCGAGTGCTACTTCCCATAGTCCCTCTCCAGAACCAAAGAGGCATGCCAGTCATATTGACACTTCCTGAGGAGGAGTTTCACCTCAGAGATTGCCCCAGGATCTCCTCCTCTCGAGACAAGAATATCCAGCTTCCTCTGCAACCTTTGGTAGGTCATGTGTCTATCAAACTGCTTTCTATTGGCTAGGCCCCTGAAGAATCCAGCGATCCTCTTTTTGGTCAGCTCCCACCACTCAGCCTTGCTGCTACAAAAGTCCAGGATGGTCACCTGTGCCTGAAAGAATTCCTCAAAGGATTCTCTAATGTGTTCTTCCTCGAGGAGAGTCGAATTCAATCTCCAGATGCCCTTGCCCCTCTGAGGGGAGTCTAAAGCATTTAAGACCACAGATAGCATACAGTGATCAGATAACTCTACTGCCTGCAACACTGGGGGAGAGAAAGCAGAGGTCTCCTTTAAAAAAAAACCTATCTATCCTACTCTGGCTATTGCCTCGATGAAAGGTGAA